CATTGTTCTATCTTTAGTATACGTTCTGCCAAAGCACAAAGCACGCAGTGCCTTGGAATTTTCTGTACATATGCATCAAAAAGGTTTAAGAAACTGGAGCCCTGTGCTGAAGGGTGAAGTTAGGGGTCAGGCTAGTCCAGTTCTGCTGACTCTTAAGAGCTGAAGGTCAGCTCAGAGCAGCTCATTTGATAAGATGTTTGGATATACACAGCATAGAAATACAGCAGTAATAAATGAGGTCACCTTTATGCAGCCAGTTCTGGGCTCCTGATTTGTGCCTGGTACCATGCTGGGCTCTGGAGACCCAGAGAGAAAGGTAGGAGACAGCCCAGGGAGAGGTGGTGGATCGTAGCAGAGGCTTTTGAGTGAGCCATATAGTTCAATTCCACATACCTTTTCCTAAGTGTAGGTGCTTGGAAAGGTGTCTAGCTCCCTGAGTCATAGCTTCTTCATTTCTAAAAAGGGAATAATAGTATTTACCTGTAAGGTTGTGCCTACCGAATGATCTGTCATTTCATTGTTTGGCACATTGTAAGCAGGCAGCTTTAAGAATAGTCCACTGCCCCCTGAAGTTAGAGTGACAGGAGCAAGCCATTATTCTGGATGGGAACGATTGTTTGGCAGTGCCTAAGTGCTCCGGTGGGAGGTTTGTGTGAACAGGTGCTGAGCGAGATAGGAGGGCAGGTGGCTGCCTCACTCAGCAGAGACGTGTGGAAGGCCTCCAGGGGATATTGGCAGGGCCACTACTTGGTAGTGAGCCAAAACTTGAAGCCTAACTAAGTATTAGCTGGCAAAGAAGGGGGAAGGACGTTCCCTTCCAGGCAGTTAAGCGTCTGCAAGGACATCCAGGTGCCTTTTTTGTAAGGTTTTGATTTTGGGTTTGCCAGAACAGTAGAGCTTTGCATCCTCCGTTCAAGTTGTGAGGAGGAAAAATGTGGAAAAGTGTTAAATGGGTCTTTAAGAAAAGGAAGTCTTTTTAAATTCTGATGAAGTGTCCAGAATAAGAATAGACCCTTGGCTTGGCAGAGCGTTTGCCTGTGAAGCTTGGCAGTGGTGTCAGGTCCTAGGGAATCCAGCGGGAGCCAAGAATGGTTCCCACCCCTCCGCGTCCCAGCTCTAGGGACATCGAAGCACACTCCCTTGCAACCCACCCGCTGGTTTCCCAGTTGCAGCTAAACTCCACTTTCAGAAGGAAATGATCCCATTCCTTTCTGGCTTGAGGGACTATTAAAACAATCAAGAGGGCGCCTGGGTGGCTCAGTTGGTTAAGCGACTGCCTTCGGCTCAGGTCATGATCCTGGAGTCCCAGGATCGAGTCCCGCATCGGGCTCCCTGCTCGGCGGGGAGTCTGCTTCTCCCCCTGACCCTCCCCCATTTCATGGTCTCTGTCTCTCATTCTCTCTCTCTCAAATAAATAAATAAAAAAAATCTTAAAAAAAAAAAAAAAAGAAAACAATCAAGAATACCTCATGTACTTAAAGTGGTGGGTAAATATATTGCAATGATAGGAAAGGAGTAGATCATGTATTAATGCTATGCTTGATGGAAAACAAGGCGTAAAGTGTGTGTGTTGCAGGGAAATACACTGTATTGATGCTGAACCTAATTGTAAGTATTTAATAGCAAAATAATCCAATTAAAAGTCTGCTTTCACCTTCAAATACTTACAAAAATTCTTTGTTTAGATCCGCTGGCTTTAATTTCAGAATCCAGCATCTTCTGAGTTTTTACTATGCTCATCAAAGTACTGTGCTAAATATGATATCTTGTCACCTTTTTGGACTGTAAAAAGAACTTTACAAAGTAGTTTCCCCAGTGACCCTGCCACTCATTTTTTTTAGTTGTAGTATAATTAACATACAATGTTATATTAGTTTCAGGCGTATGACATAATGATTCCACAAGTCTGTACATTACTCATTACTCATATGACAAGTATAGTCACCGTTTGTCATCAAACAACATTATTACAATCTTATTGACTATATTTTCTTTGCTGAACTTTTCATTTTTGTGACTTGTTTTATAACTGGAAGTTTGCACTTCTTAATCCCCTTTATTTTACCTATCCCCCCATCCACGTCCCCTTGAGCAACCACAAACAAGCTTGTTCTCTGTAGTTAAGAGTCTGGTTTTTGTCTTCTTTTTCCTTTATTCATTTGTTTTATTTCTTAAATTCCATATATGAGTGAAATCATATGGTATTTGTCTTTCTCTGACTTACTTGACTCAGATAGACTTATGTGACTAGCATAATGCCTTCTAGGTCCATTCATGTTGTTGCAAATGGCCAGATCTCATTCTTTTTTGTGGCTGAGTAATATTATTCCGTATATATCACATCTTCTTTACCCATTCATCTGTCATTGGACACTTGGGTTGCTTCCATATCTTGGCTATTGTCAATAATGCTGCAGTAAACATAGGGATGCATATATCTTTTCGAATTAGTGTTCTTGTTTTCTTTGAGCGAATAGCCAGTAGAGGAATGACTGGATCATATGGCCTCTTTTTAATTTTTTGAGGAACCTCCATACTGTTTTCCACAGTGGCTGCACCAGTTTGCATTCTATCCAATAGTGCCTGAGGGTTCCTTTTTCCCCACATCTTTACCAATTTCTTGTCTTTGGGGTTTTTTTTGTTGTTATTGTTGTTATTTTGTCTTTTTATTATTTCTTTTTCTTTTTTGCCATTCTGGCAGGTGTAAGGTGATATCTCATTGTGGTTTTGATTTGCATTTCCCTGATGATGAGTGATGTTGAGCACTTTTCATGTGTCTGTCGGCCATCTGTTTCTCTTCTTGGGAGAAAAAGTCTATCAGGTCCTCTGCCCATTTTATTTTTTATTTTTATTTTTTTTTTAAAGATTTTATTTATTTGACAGAGACACAGCGAGAGAGGGAACACAAGCAGGGGGAGTGGGAGAGGGAGAAGCAGGCTCCCCAATGAGCAAGCAGCCCGATGTGGGGCTCAATCCCAGGACCCTGGGATCATGACCTGAGCTGAAGGCAGACGCTTAATGACTGAGCCACCCAGGTGCCCCCCTCTGCCCATTTTAATCAGATTATTTGGTTTTTATTGATGCTGAGTTCATGTATTTTTGGATATTAATCCCTTATTGGATGTATCATTTGCAGATATCTTCTCCCATTCAGTTTGTTGCCTTTTTGTTTTGTTGATTGTTTCCTTTGCTATGCAAAAGTTTTTTATTTTGGGGTAGTCCCAGTAGTTTATTTTTGCTTTTGTTTGCCTTGCCTCAGGAGACATAACTAGAAAAACGTTTCTACAGCTGATGCCAAAGACATTATTGCCTATGTTTTCTTCTAGGAGTTGTATGGTTTCAGGTCTCACAGTTGGGTCTTTAGGCCGTTTTGAGTTTGTTTTTGTGTATGGTGTAAGAAAGTGATCCAGTTTCATTCTTTGGCATATTGCTGTCCAGTTTTTCCAGCCCCATTTGTTGAAGAGATTGTCTTTTCCCGGTTGTATATTCTTGCCTCCTTTGTTGTAGATTGACCATGTTAAGTGTGGGTTTATTTCTGCGCGCTCTATTCGGTTCCATTGATCTATGTGCCTAATTTTTGTGCCAGTGCCATACTGTTTTGAATACTTGAGCTTTTTAGTGTATCTTGCAATCTGGGGTTGTGATACCTCCAGTTTTGTTCTTTCTCAAGATTGTTTTGGCTATTTGGAGTCTGTGCCTTCATACAAATTTCAGTATTATTCTAGTTCTGTGAACAGTTCTGTTGATATTTTGATAGGGATTGCATTACATCTGTAGATTGCTTTGGGTACTATGGACATTAACAATACTGGTTCTTCCAGGCCATGAGCATGAAACATCCTTCCATTTGTGTGTCATCTTCAGTTTCTTTCATCAGTTTTTTATGGTTTCATGTGTCTGTTGGCCATCTGTTTGTCTTCTTTGGGAAAATGTCTATCAGGTCCTCTGCCCATTTTAAATGAGATTATTTGTTTTTTTCTGATACTGAGTTCATGTGTTAAGAACAGAGCCATTGAGAATGTATGTTAAGGGAGAATGAACAAATCTCTTATTAAAGAACTATAGCAGAAGTTAGTTTGAGCTTCTTAATTTCTTCTGTGGTTTTAACATTCCATATTTAGTGTGGATGGGTTAAGAGGAACCAGTGTCTTTTGTCCTAGATTAGTTGTTTTCCAAGTGTGGTGCCCAGACAGCAGCATAAGTATTACCTTAGAACTTGTTAGAAATGAAAATTCTTGGGGCACCTGGGTGGCTCAGTTGGTTAAGCATCGACTCAGGTCGTGATTCCAGGATCCTGGGATTGAGCCCCATGTCAACCTCCCTGCTCAGTGGGGACCCTATTTCTCCCTCTCCCTGTCTCTCTGCCACTCCCTCTCTTTGTGCTCTCTTGTGCTATCAAATAAATAAAATCTTAAAAAAAAGGGGGGGGGCGCCTGGGTGGCTCAGTCATTAAGCGTCTGCCTTTGGCTTAGGTCATGATCCCAGGGTCCTGGGATTGAGCCCCGCATCGGGCTCCCTGCTCCACGGGAAGCCTGCTTCTCCTTCTCCCTCTGCCTGCCGCTCCCCCTGCTTGTTCTCTCTCTTGCTGTCTCTTTCTCTGTCAAATAAATAAAATCTTAAAAAAAAAAAAAAAGAGAGAAATGAAAATTCTTGCCCGAACCCAGAACCAGCCTGGATAAAATGAGATTAGTCCTTGTATATGGGATAGAGCAATGGATAATCATTCTGCCTGGTCACATCAGGATGAGAGTCAGGTAATTGGGATTTTTTTTTTCCCTTCTTTGTAATTCTGGACTTGTTAAATTAACAACGGTATCATTTGTGTGTTGGTAGGAATACTGATTTGATTGTTAACACTAACAGTAGCAAGGCAGGTTAAAAATATTTAATGAGCCCAATAAGTATTAGGTAATTTTATATGTGACATTTTTCTTCCATTTCTTTCCCCTTTAAATTACAGGCTCAGTAATAACTGTGTCTCTTTGGGGCTTTTTCTTTAGGTTAAAAATGTGTCTGCAGGCACACAAGACATGCCTCCCCCCCCTTCTGACTATGTGGAGAGAGTGGACAGTCCCATGGCCTACTCTTCCAATGGTAAAGTGAATGACAAGCGGTCATATCCAGAGTCTTCCTATAAGTCAACACCGTAAGTAGCATCTTCCTCCTTCAGATAGAATGAGTCTTAAAAATGAACATTTGCATATGTTGAAAATCAGTTCCTGTTGTACCATTTGCTTTAAAATAAATAAATTTAACAGTTTCCCAAAGCTAGAGACTGATCTTTTGCATTGTTGATGGAGGCTTGGAAGAGAAGGGTGGGACTGTGAGCTGGTAGGATCTTTTCCCCCTTCTAAGCTGGAAGTGCTTTTTTTCTCTTGCTGGTTTAATGGAGAGAGGGTAAATTGATATTTTTGGCTCTAAAAAAGTGGTTCTCTTCCCTGTTGCTGGTTTTGAATTTGAGGTAAGAGTGAAGGATGTTACTGATACAAAGCAGAGCTGTCTCTCCTTGCCTATAACTGCTAGATCTCATTAATGGAAGGGGATGATTGCTGGTTGATCCACTTCCTAGCCACATACATTTTTATTTACCGAGAAGACTTTGTTTGAAATCAGGAATTCTGCGATCTCACTTGCTGTGCGAGACCCTTCATGTTGCTGGAGGATGGCTGTGAAACTGATAAAGCCTGTATGTGTATATTTACAAGTAGTGTAAATAACCTCACAGTGAGCTTCTGGCCTAGAGTAGGTGCCATTATGGTTATTGAAATGGTATCCCCATTGTGGTTTTAATTTACCCTAAAGGCTATTTCTTTTTCTTTTTTTTTTTTTTTTAAGATTTTTTTTATTTATTTGAGACAGAGAGAATGAGAGAGAGAGAGCACATGAGAGGGGGGAGGGTCAGAGGCAGAAGCAGGCTCCCTGCCGAGCAGGGAGCCCGATGCGGGACTCGATCCAGGGACTCCAGGATCACGACCTGAGCCGAAGGCAGTCGCTTAACCAACTGAGCCACCCAGGCTCCCTAAAGGCTATTTCTAATTCAACCTAATGACTAGTGAGGGAAGGGTATTAGAAATACTGTTATGGACTGGATATAATTTTTGCCTAAGGATGATAAATTACTCTTTTTTTTTAAATTTTATTTTTTAAAGATTTTGTTTATTTATTTGACAGATAGCGAGAGCAGGAACACAAGCAGGGGGACTGGGAGAGGGAGAAGCAGGTTTCCTGCCGAGCAGGGAGCCTGATGTGGGGCTCCATCCCAGGACCCTGAGATCATGACCTGAGCCAAAGGCAGATGCTTAACAACTGAGCCACTCAGGTGCCCCTTCTTCTTCTTTTTTTTTTTTTAAGATTCTGTTTTTAAATAATCTCTACACACACCGTGGGGCTGAAACTCAAAACCTTTGAGATCAAGAGTCGCATGTTCCAGTGACTGAGCCAGGCAGCCACCCTCTCTTGTTATGTATAATTCTAGAACTCCAAATTCCTTTGTGGACTAAATAATAAAAAATAAACAGTCCCTTTAACTACTTTGATTGTTTTAAGTTAAAGGTGTATCTGCTGGAAAACTTTGTGTTGCTTCAAAGTTTTATTTCCACCTCCCTCCTTCACCCCCCACCCCCCCCCCATTTAGTGGTCCAATTTATTTTTTTTTTTTTAAGATTTTATTTATTTATTTGGCAGATCACAAGTAGGCAGACAGGCAGGCAGAGGGAGAGGGAGAAGCAGGCTCCCTGCTGAGCACAGAGTCCGATGTGGGGCTCCATCCTAGGACCCTGGGATCATGACCTGGGCCGAAGGCAGATACTTAACCATCTGAGCCACTCAGCGTCCCTTAGTGGCCCAATTTAGATAGAAATCCCCCCTGAGTAGTTTGGGCACCTGGAACCCCTTAAGATGACACCAGCAGCTAAGCTAATCATGGAATCAGTTTGAGACAATAGGTTTTATTATTACCCTGGGATGGAATTTGGAAACAGATGGCAGTTTGCCTTACCCTCAATATATATTTTGTTTTGGTCTTCAGAATTGACTTTGTTGTTGGTTTCAGTTGTGAATGATTTGGAGGAAGAGTGTTTTCTCTGTTCTCCTTCTGTTTGGATTTTGACAAAAATCCAAAGCACTTGAGGCTGTTAGGGGCAGAGGTGTACAAAGTAGAGACACAGTCTTAAAGCTATGATTTGCATGACTTTCGTGCATACATAGTAAATATTTATAATGCATCTTGTGACCAGCTGTGCCTCTGAATTAATTATAAAGCCTGAATGGTCACATAGCATTCCACATGCTGTCTCTTTTCATGAAAACCAAGATATTTTCACAAAATCATTTGGAACAATTTAAAAATCTTAGTTATTCTTGAGTAAGCCAGTACATTTGTAATGTAAAATTTAAAAGGGATAGAGTGATAGCTTTTGTCCCCAGCTACCTAGTTCCTATTCCTAGAGGCAGCTAGTGTTACCACTTTTTTTTTTTTTTTTTTTTTAAGTAGGCTTCACGCCCAGCATGGAGCCAGGTGCGGGGCTTGAATTCACAACCCTGAGATCAAAACCTGAGCTGAGATCAAGAGTCAGACACTTAACCAACTGAGCCACCCAGGCACCCCACCAATTTGTCTTATATAACCTTCCAGAAATTATTTTTAAATAAATATGCTGGCCAAAATGTACATTAGTTATATCTTCCTTTAAAAAAAAATAGCAGGACGCCTGGGTGGCTCAGTGGGTTAAGCGGCTGCCTTCGGCTCAGGTCATGATCCTGGAGTCCCTGGGTGGAGTCTGGGCTCCCTGCTCAGCAGGGAGTCTGCTTCTCCCTCTGACCCTCCCCCCTCTCATGTGCTCTCTCTCTGTCTCATTCTCTCACTACCAAATAAATAAATAAAATCTTTAAAAAAGAATAGCGTATTAAGGGGTACCTGGGTGGCTCAGTCAGTTAAGTGTCTAACTTTGGCTCAGGTCATGATCCTGGGGTACTAGGATCAAGCCCTGTGTTGGGCTCCGTGCTCAGCGGGGAGCCTGCTTCTCCCTCTCCCTCTGCCCCCCACTCGTGCTCCCTCGCTCTCCTCTCTCTCTCTCAAATAAATAAAAATAAATCTTTTTAAAAATACTAGCATATTAAATGCATTATTAGCATATGTCTTGGAGATTGTGCATATCGGTATACAATGAGTTTACTGATATCTTTTATAGCTGCATAATACTCCACCAGATGGATATACTATAATTTGTTAATCCCATATTGATGCACACTTTTCCCCAATGTTTTGTTATTATAGATCTCTGCAGCTATAAACTTGTACATGTATCCCTTTTCATGTATGTGAATGTAGCTAGAGGAAAAATACTAAAAGCAGGAGTGCTGAGCTGAAAGAAATTTCCTATTTCATTTTGATACGTATACTCAAATTGTAGTCCCTAGGGGGTGTACCAATTTATCATAATGTCTTATATCTTAGAATTTCAAGGCAATTAGAATTCATACTGGGTTAGGAGATAGCAGAATTTAATTGAAAATGGTTGCTTCTTCACCTTTTCTAATTAAATTTAGGAGATACCCCCTATTAGGTACATTCCGTTCTATCTTGTCCAAATCCAGGGTGAATTCATCTTTATAAGTCAAGAAAGATGAATGTTGACATGTCACAGAGCTTTCCAGGCAGGTTGACACCCTAGAGTGGCAATGAACCTTTGTATGGTAGCAGTAAAGAGGCTAGTAGGATAATCTGTTAGGACTATATACGAGGGCCAGCCTAAGCCCTAGAACTTTTTTGAAGGTCTGGGAAATGCAAATGTGATGCTTAGTTTCAAAATCCAGAAGAAGGGGAGGAGGGGGATGGTGCTAAGGGATGTGATGGGGCATTATCTCCTGATTTGTATGCATTAATGCTGGAAGGAACTTGCAGCCTCTGGGGAATAATAGAAATTTCCAGGTGTTGCCCATGGCAGGGTACTGTGTGCTCTGGAAGATTCAGAGCACATTCACTTGGATGGGGTAGAGATGCACATTAAGTCATAGGCTGTCTCTCCTCAGGCTTTCATGAAGGTGCTTAGTAGCCCACAAGCGCCTCTCTTTGCTATCATAGTCAACAGACAAGGAATTAGAACGGGAACATTGTGTCTGAGATCCATCGTAAGGATGAGGTACCTCAACACTTAAGATATTTTTTCCCCAAAGCATAACACACATTCAGTAGAGTACTAATCTTGAGCATACAGTTTGATGATTTTTCACACGTGTGAACACTGAGGTAACCACCACCACAGCAGCCAAGAGACACATCAAGCACTCCAAAAGGTCCTCACGTGCCCTTTCTTCATTGATATCCCCATCCCCCGCTCCACAATTTTGATGCCTATAACTACTTATTAGTTGAGTTTATTATTGAAGTTCTCTTATAAAGTGGAGTTATATGGTAATTACAGTTGCATCTGTCACTTTGTGCTCATCATGTCTTTTTTTTTTTTTTTAAGATTTTAATTTATTTATTCATGAGAGATAGAGAGAGAGGCAGAGGGAGAAGCAGGCTTCCCACGGAGCAGGGAGCCCAATGCGGGACTCGATCCCAGGACCCTGGAATCATGACCTGAGCCGAAGGCAGATGCTTGACCATCTGAGCCACCCAGGCGCCCCTCATCATAATGTCTTATATCTTAGAATTTCAAGGCAATTAGAATTCATACTGGGTTAGGAGATAGCAGAATTTAATTGAAAATGGTTGCTTCTTCACCTTTTCTAATTAAATTTAGGAGATACCCCCTACTAGGTACATTCCGTTCTATCTTGTCCAAATCCAGGGTGAATTCATCTTTATAAGTCAAGAAAGATGAATGTTGACATGTCACAGAGCTTTCCAGGCAGGTTGACACCCTAGAGTGGCAATGAACCTTTGTATGGTAGCAGTAAAGAGGCTAGTAGGATAATCTGTTAGGACTATATACGAGTTGGCAGCAGCTCTTTCTGCCCACCGGTCCTGTCCCCGTGTTTTAATAAACCACCATTAAAAAAAAAAAAGAACTATATATGAGTTGTAGGAATTCACTGGTCCACATTAGACAAGGGATGGTCTCACTTCAGGAATGACATGAGCCAGGAACTCAGAAGAAAGATATTAGGACTCCTGTTGCTATGTGGGCTTTATTGTCAGTACAGCTTCTATGAAAGCAGGATGGTCCTCCACATTTTCTAGGCTGCATTGACCTTCCAGCATAGGATTTGGAAAATGGAATGTTCTTTCCCAAAGCTGACATATAAAATATATTAAAAGATTCCTGATTGGCCCTTTTTGGATCATTGTCATTCCTAAGGCTAGGGAGATAGGGTTCTCTGATTGACAAGGCTTAGATATGCCCCCCAATAATAGTGACAGTTCTGAAATACCATGTAGGGGCACCTGGGTGGCTCAGTTGGTTAAGCATCTGACTTTGGCTCAGGTCATGATCTCAGGGTCTAGGGATCGAGTCCTGCATCAGACTCTGCTTCGTGGGGAGCCTGCTTCTCCCTCTCCCTCTCTGTCCCCTCTGTCTCTCAAATAAATAAATAAAATTCTTTGGAAAAAAAATTAAAAATAAAAAAATAAAATACCATGTACATAATAGACATTGTTCTGATAATCAGGACGCTGATGTTGATCATGCCTTGTTTCTTTTCCCTCATGGATATTGGATGTCATCAGAAAAGAGGGTGAATGTTTTCAACTCAGGAATTCTCTTGAACACCTGCCATGTACGCAGTAGTTGGCTAGGTGCCCTGGGAATACCAAGTCCTTGTTCTCATGGAGGTGGCGATCTACCAGGGGCAGAAGACAGGCACAGTAGCTACACTGAGAGTTGGGGGGAGGTAGGAGCACCAAAGGCATGTGAGGGAGGGTGTGTAAAGAAAACACGAATAGAAAAGAAAGAATACACAAGGGTGAACTTCGGGACCTGAAGACTGAGTTGGAACCAGGGAAAGCATACAGCTGGTTGCCTCTTCAGGGTCATGCAGATTATGACTTAATGGAATTTGTATCTAAAAGTAGGTTCAAAGATTATTGACAGTACACATATTCCCTAAGTCTTAAATTTATATACACATGTGAGCTTTGTGTTTAGGTTTTATGCTGTATCGAGTATGTTACCCTCTAGTGTTTCAAAGTATGTAGTAGAGTGGGAGGTGGAAAACTTCCAAAGTAAAGATTTATTTTTTTTTTAAAGATTTTATTTATTTACTTATGAGAGAGAGGGAGAGAGAGCACAAGCAGGGGGAAGAGGGAGAGGGAGAAGCAGGCTCCCCGCTGAGCAGGGAGCCTGACCAAGTAAAGATTTATAATATCAGTATCTAATATAATTATGGGAGGAGGCCTGTTTTTAATGTTTTAGAAAGTTTTGGTTTTTTTCTAATTTCTTTTGCTGTTTAGCTTCCTTCTTCAATAGCTCCTATGCCCTCAAATACACCTACTGCATTCCCAAAGCGAGAAGCAGAATACCTGGCAATTTTGGCAGAGTGTCTAGGAACTTGTTACTCATTGACTCATGGAGAAAGTCACATTTTCCCTCCTTTAGATGTAGCAATAACAGCACACAAAGCCACGGTAACCTGAATACATTCAGAAAGAAGGCATGAATCCCACTTACCACCGCCAACTATGCACACACATCCCAAAGCTTTAGGCTTCTATAAGACATTAGTAAGTGTGATAGAAATCTGAAGACTTGGACAACAATGAGAAGCAAGCAGTTCTGGATCACCTAGAAAATAGACATAGGTCAAGACATAGACATAGGTCAAGATTATAATTTCTGTAAATTGAAAGCAATGAGAAAACAAAAACTTCAGACATTTTTAATAGTTGATTTGAATAGCAAGGCTGAGGTTAGAAAGTCCCTGGCGTGTTCTTTGTCTTCCTTTCAGTGCTCTTGCCCGTTAGCTCTGCTACTAGGGAGAGTATAGTTCTGCATCGCTGTTACTCACAAGTACTTAACAGTTGCCACAGCTCTTGCTCTTTTATTCCACGTTTGGCTTCATTTTTATGCTTGTGGCAGAAACATATGCAGTTAAAGATCTGATGCAATATTATTGCATTAGGAAAATAAGTCTAATGGTAGTCCTTCCATGCTGTTCAGTCTACATGGCTATAGGATTCACATAGCAGTTGTTTAAATTTTGAGTATTTTAGTTTTCCAAGATTGTATCTTGAAAAGAAAATTGATGCATAGGAGTCTAAAATTAGTATTAAAAATGCTTACCTCTGAGAGTCAGCTTCCGATGGTAGACAGATACATGCATTTCTCTTCAGCACTCCGCATTCCATGAAACTGGAAGAACCTGTAGAAAAGAATCCTGAGTTGTTATTTTCCTGATGGCCTTTTGTGGAGTAAGTCCCTGGCACAGGTCCCGTAAACACCTCTTCCAGGTCAGCCTGGGCTTCCCAAAATGCAGTCTTAGGTCCATCTCACTTAGAAGGTCTTACAAACGGGCTCCCCTTACATCGGAACCTTCCAGCCACTTGGTGTGTTGTGGAGGGTCTGAGCTGGTGTTCACCTGCTCGCAGGAGCCTGGGGATCTGCCTCGTGTCGAGTAGGTGAACTGCTTGCGTGAACGCACGTAGGTGTGGAGGTCTCTTCGTGCGAGCTGTTGCTGCCCTCTGTGCTGACAGGGCGCTCCTGGCCTCGTGATCCCCGAACACTGACTGCTCTTTTGTTAGGGTGCCCGAAGTGGTGCAGGAGCTGCCGGTGACCTCAGCTGTGGCTGACCTCAGGCAGCCTCACTACAGCAGTGGCAGGAACTTCGAGACGCCTTCCAGAAAGGCCCCCACGAGAGGCAGGGCGGGCAAGGCCAAGCGGCCGGAGCAGGACCACTACGAGACAGACTACACAACTGGTGGCGAGTCGTGCGACGAGCTGGAGGAGGACTGGATCAGGTAGTGGGGGGCCTCGTATGCACGGGATCTGATTGCTAGCCTGGGCCGGCCGGCCTGGGAACTGCTTACCTGCTCCGCTGGGGCGGGGTGGCGCGATTTCATTCTTTGACAGCCAGGACTGGAGATATTTTTTTGTTAGGTTTTTTTCCCCTGAGTACTCTCTGGTAATAAAGATGGACAGGGAAGGGATATGCTTGGCTGTGACTGTGTCCTAAAAACACGTTGAGCATTGGGCGCCTGGGTGGCTCAGTTGGTTAAGCGACTGCCTTCGGCTCAGGTCATGATCCCAGGGTCCTGGGATCGAGCCCCACATAGGGCCCCCTGCTCTGTGGGAAGCCTGCTTCTCCCTCTCCCACTCCCCCTGCTTGTGTTCCTGCTCTCGCTGTCTCTGTCTCTGTCAAATAAATAAATAAAATCTTAAAAAAAAAAAAAAACCCATGTTGAGCATCTTCCACAGGGCGACCGATGAACTTCACCAATGCTCTTGCACTAGTAGTCACCCAAGAACGGTCTTCCAAACAAATAAAACGCCAGTATAGAGGGGCTTTGGTTACTGATTATAAAATTCTCAGACCAGTGCTATGGCTTTCTTTGGCATTCACTTGTAAGGTTTCATGATGAGACCAGAGATTCTTTTAAAAGTTTAATCCAGAGGACTTTGGCAAACAGTTACATAAACAGTTAACAATTCAGTGTTCTGGCCAAGGTTGTGGTTAAGTTCCTGGGTGTTGGTGGTTGAGTTACAGTTCATCCTTAGCAACTATACTCATGTGTGATGTGTAGCCCTTTGATGCCCAGGTATTCTGAGAAATGGGACACAAATCAGAAACATTTGTGGTGTGAATGGTGGTTCATCAAAACATTGCTTCTCAGGGTGTAAGGAGGTGATGAGTGGTATAGTATAGTTTGAAATCTCACTGGGGATTCTCATACCTCACCTTCCTCTCTCTCCACAGGAGTTCTTGGCCAGGGACGCCGGAGTAGCTCAGTAGGTTAAACCTCCAACTCTTGGTTTTTGGCTCAGGTCATGAGATCGAGCCACATGTGGGGCTCCCCACTCAGTGGGGAGTCTGCTTTGAGATTCTCTCCCTTTCCCCCTCCCCCACACGCTTACTTGCTCGCTCTCTCTCAAATAAACAGATCTTCAGAAAAAGAAGTTCTTGGCCAAGTTCAGCCATCTAGCTATAAAATACTTTTTTAGGGGCGCCTGGGTGGCTCAGTCGTTGAGTGTCTGCCTTCGGCTCAGGTCATGATCCCAGGGTCCTGGGATCGAGTCCCATATGGGGCTCCCTGCTCGGCGGGAGGCCTGCTTCTCCCTCTCCCACTCTCCCTGCTTGTGTTCCCCCTCTTGCTGTCTCTCTCGCTGTTAAAAAATAAATAAAAAATCTTTAAAAAAAAAAATACTTTTTTAACTTGAATCATGGAAGATTTAAATGAAAACTTTAAAGAAACCTGAATTCTTCTTTCGAGCAAATCATTTAATTTCTCCCCTTTGTAAAAATGAAGATGTTAGGCCAATTTAGATATAAAAATTGAAATTCCATGTTGCTGTGAAGTTCCTTAGTTCTGTGAAACAGTTCGGAGTATTTCCTCAGTGGATTATTAGTTAATAGCATCACAGTGATATGTAAAGAATAGCTAGTATATTGAGAGATACAAGTGATACAGAATTTCAGGGTTATTTTCAGTTTAGTGCATTGCCACGTTATTTGTGCGATGAGCATGTATTTTTGTACATGTACATTAAAGTCTACTTTTATAATCAAAGGACTTAAGCTATTTCTGCTTAGGAAAACCAATCAGTTGAAAAAACAATCTAAAAACTGTAGTTGGTAGCAGAAAACAACCAGCTGCCGGTCAGCCGCTCTGCCGCTGTAATGATGACAACATACTGTGTTCCAGAATTCCAGTTCTAAGACTTTTTTTTTTTTTTTAAGATTTTATTTATTTATCTGACAGAGAGAGAGACAACGAGAGCAGGAACACAAGCAGGGAGAGTGGGAGAAGCAGAAGCAGTCTTCCCGCCGAGCAGGGAGCCCGATGTGGGACTCGATCCCAGGACCTTGGGATCATGACCTGAGCCGAAGGCAGACGCTTAATGACTGAGCCACCCAGGCGCCCCTCCAGTTCTAAGACTTTAAACATAAATATTCTATTATCATGTGGTGGTGTATATTTAGAATAAATGAGTTCGTATGACTTGAACCTTAAATTTCATAAATGATTTTTAATTCTATTTCTAAAAATTATATAAGCATAGTATTTTATTTTTAAAGCTGTATGTATTTGAGAGAGACACAGGACATGCACGACCTTGGGGAGGGGTAGAGTGAGAGCGAGAGTGGGAATCTCAAGCTGACTCCCCACGGAGCATGAAGCTGATGCAGGGCTTGATCCCAGGACCCTGAGGTCATGACCTGAGCAGAAACCAAGAGTCAGCCACTCAACTGACTGAGTCACCCAGGCACTGCCCCCCCCTCCCCCCGCATAGTATTTTTAAAAGCATAAGCAGTGAGGGCGCCTGGGTGGCTCAGTTCGTTAAGCGACTGCCTTCGGCTCAGGTCATGATCCTGGAGTCCCAGGATCGAGTCCCGCATCGGGCTCTCTGCTCGGCAGGGAGCCTGCTTCTCCCTCTGGCCCTCCCCCCTCTCATGTGCTCTCTGTCTCTCTCATTCTCTCTGTCTCAAATAAATAAAATCTTAAAAAAAAAAAAAAAAAAAAAAAAAGCATAAGCAGTGATGTATAATGTATAATCTTTTTTTTTTTTTTTGAGAGAGCGAGCGAGCAGTGGGGCGGGCAGAGGGAATGGGAGAGAATCTTAAGCAGCCGCCATGTTGAGCCTGGCGCCTGAAGAGGCTAGATCTCATGACCCCAAGATCATGACCTAAGCCAAAATCAGGAGTCGGATGCCCCAGGCACCCCTAACGTATAATCTTAAGAGAACTTATTTGCATCCCACCTTCCTCTTTCCATAAGCAACAAAAGAAAACAGGAGATTGTCATTCTTCACATCCCACCAGCTTCATTATCTTTGATGAAGAAACCCTGGATTTTATGTCTGCTAGAGTCATAAGTAGTCATTTTCTCAATTTTTAGGGAATATCCACCTATCACTTCAGATCAACAAAGACAACTCTACAAGAGAAATTTTGACACTGGCCTGCAGGAATACAAGAGCTTACAAGCAGAACTTGATGAGGTCAATAAAGAACTCTCTCGTCTGGATAAAGAATTGGATGACTATAGAGAAGAAAGTGAAGAGTACATGGTAAATTCAAACCTGATAATTATATATGATCTTATTCTAATCTATGAAGATCTAGTATCCTTTCTGTTAATGCTGATTCAGATTTTGCTAGCAATTCTCAAATTGATTTCATTGAAAAATAACTGAAATCCAGTCTTGGATGAAAGTCTTTCCAAATTGAAGAGTGTACTAATATAGTTAAGAAGTACAAAACAATAGGCTATGTACATATATCCCTTCCTATTTAAAAAAAACAAACTATTTTTCTATTTATAAACACAGTTCATTCTTTCTGTAAAATACTAACATTACAGAATCGGGTACAGAAAAATAAACTGCCTTAAATTCTATCACCTGGTTGTCACCAAGGTGTAACAGTTGTTAAAATATCCCCTTCATGCAAAAGTGCACCTAGACACACAACATCTTTGATAAGAAGTTATGTTTTATGACAGTATCGACTCATGGATATCTATTTTATACTTTGGGTTATAATCCAATACTAATTTATGGCTCAAATTGTTTTATATATGTATAATATGTAATATGTTAACTTATATATTTAATAATATATATATCACAAATACATATATTACTGTGTGTATATGTAAATATATTTATCATATAAATATACATATGCATATACATATATATTTAAGTTAGTTACTAGGGAGCTCAGACCAGTTTCATAATGGGCTGTAACCAGATGAGAGCTATGCTTTACAGAAGATCTCCAGTGTCAGCAAGGCACATGGACCAGCATGGGGACAGATGAGAGGCAGCAAAACAGATAGTTACCTGACTGTGTGACTGGAACGTAAGGAATAAGTCCTAGATTTCTCTTTACTGGCTTCCTTCAGGCCCTTTTGCTGACTGTAATAGTTGTACGAACCTAAAAACTTCATTATTTTAATTTCCTATATTTTTGGTGGTGTTGTAAGTTTTAGCTCCAAAATAGAACATCAAGAATGTTATTTTTGAGAGAGAAAATGTCCCACTAAACATATTCTATTGTGTTTCTCATTAATAGGCTGCTGCTGATGAGTACAATAGACTGAAGCAAGTTAAGGGCGTAAGTATCCCAGATTGTAAGATTCTTTCAGGAAGAAGTTTTCTGTTATGTGTTTTTTTTGTTTTTGTTTTTTAAAGATTTTATTTATTTATTTGAGACAGAATGAGAGAGAGGGAGAGAGAGCACATGAGAGGGAGGAGGGTCAGAGGGAGAAGCAGACTCCCTGCCGAGCAGGGAGCCCAATGTGGGGCTTGATCCCAGGACCCTGGGATCATGACCTGAGCCAAAGGCAGATACTTAACCGACTGAGCCACCCAGGTGCCCCTTTTCTACGTTTTTTTTTTTTATTTACCTCTGCTTTCCTAGCAGCTAACACAACTTGTTTTTATTTTGTTAAATTTACCTGGTTTATTTTTTTTCCTTTTTAGTCTGCAGATTACAAAAATAAGAGGAATTATTGCAAACAGTTGAAGAGCAAATTGTCATACATCAAGAAGATGGTCGGAGATTATGATAGACAGAAAACATAGAAGGTCTGCCACACGGTTTGAGAGATTAAGAAGTATTTGACATCTCTGCAATGTTGTCAAGAGGCAAAATGACTTTGGATTTTAACCCAGGAGGCCAAATCTTTGTGATCATTACAAAGTTTTGGTAGCTTTAATTCATCAGTATTGAAGCATTTTATAAATAGCTTTTGATAATCAACTGGGCTGAACACTCCAATTAAGGGTTCTGTGCTTTAAAATTCATCTATTGTATTAAGGACTGACTGACTACAGGTTGAGGTTTTTAAACCTTGAAGGAACATCCCACGGTGACCTGTGCTGTGAACTTGCACAGTCTTTTCTTAAAACATAAGTGAGCTCATTGGTTCCCATAGGTGATCTCGTCCATTCCTCCCAGAACTCTGCCTTCAGAACTGTTATTTATAACCAGTCCTTCTCAGGTAAGGAAACTTGGTCCCTGCAGTGAAGTCTCTGAAGGGAAAGTGCCTGTTTCCTGGCTTGCAGTTTTTGTTCAGTCTGTTTTGTGACTTGAGTCCATGAATAAAGTCCCTGGCCTTTTGTATGTTAGCTAACTATGGCTAGTGCATTCTACCAACCTCCCTATTGATTTTTTTTTCTGTGTATCGTGGTGTTAAAAGAGCTTTTTATTGTTTTATGAAATTATCCAGAGAATAAAGATCATGTAAAAATAAATTGTGAAACTTAAAGTTTGTAAATATATATTTACCTTTTAAGAATCAAAATTTAAACCTCCTAGTTAGAATTCTGTTGTGTATTCTAAAATACTTTGTAATCTTTTATGGTTTACATGCATTGTTTTGTTTTCTTTTTTTTAAACTAGGCTTTTTCATTATATCAGAGTATCTGATGATGTTGCTAATTCAGTTGTGACTTGAATTGTATCTTAAACAATGTTCAAGTTCTGTATATACTTTCTAAGGTATTAAGCCTGGTGTTGTCTTTCTTTCATATAGTTGTTTGACATCATTAGTGCTGTTAAGTTTGGAGTTTCATCTGTTAATGTTTTAAACTATTTTGGGTGCTGTGCTGATTACTAAATTTCCCAGTCTTTTGACTAGAAGGCTGATTTGTCTGGAAACAGAGGGCAATCCCACAAAACATCAAATTATTTCAGATGGTGCCCTCGGTTCATCACTTTTTGTAACTTAAATTTTTATTAGTAAATGAAATTAGCTGATAGTGGGCATATAGCTAGCCCAGTTGATTGTGATTATCCCCTTAGTTTAGAACTATTTTTGTGGGGCACCTGAGTGGCTCAGTTGGTTAAGCGACTGCCTTCAGCTCAGGTCATGATCCTGGAGTCCCGGGATCGAGTCCCGCATCGGGCTCCCTGCTCAGCAGGAAGTCTGCTTCTCCCTCTGACGCTCCCCCATCTCATGCTCGCTCGCTCTCTATCTCATTCTCTCTCTCAAATAAATAAATAAAATCTTTAAAAAAACAAAACAAAACTATTTTTGTGAAAATTTTTGAAGAATAATCTTTAAATAATCATTAGTATACCATTCAGACACTTAAGTATGTAATTCTTTATATACAAGTCTGAATCATTTTCCAAAGATACATCTTAAAATAATGTTTCTATTATAACATTGATTCATTTCTTCAAATTGAAGAAATTCTTAATTTTCCATGTGCTGTACATACTACAAAAGGTAAGAGTTAATAGTTTTCATACCTTTTGGTTTCACACCAAATGGTAAAGACTCTTGAGCAACTTAACTCATTTTTATGTATGCTAAAATTTAAATTTCTTTGTTCTTGGAAGTCAGTGTACTTAGATTATGAAGATGGCAAGGATGCCAGGGTTCTGACAAAACAAAACTATACAGCTGAACGAACAAAATCAAATAGCATGAATTTCCATTGTAAAATTGTGTCAGAAAATTGGACTTAAAAATAAAATACAAGAAAATAATTTCTCAAATGTGGTACTTAAAGACCACTTGGGATTAACCAGCTGGATGTAACTAAAGAACCACTTAGGTTGATTTCTAGTTTGGAAAACAAGAAGTTTAGATTAGATGTTGGAGGTCTCATTGGAAAACAAGACGTTTAGATTAGATGTTGGAGGTCTCATCCATCTCTGACCTGAGATTCTTATGTCTGCAGTCTGCCTTCTATTTTGAATGATTGTTCCAGAAATTCTGTTGTGAAAGCATGTGGTCCTGCTGATAAAGGTTAACTGCACACAGGAATGCCTTTACATAGGTGCTTCTGTATTCAAAGTAGATAAGATCAATATTTTAATTTCTCTGTATTTTGAAAAATTTAAAGAAAAATAGAAAACTATAAACACATATCCATCTGCCAGAAAGAACAGGTGTTAGTTTTGTTAAATATGCTTGTATTTTTTGAAATAAATTGAAGCCTATTGGTATTTATAGTAAAAGTTACATTGTATACACACATATATGAAATTATCATTTAGTCCTTATAACATTCCATTGACATGTAATCATTTCTCATTCTCATTTAACAGGTAAGAAAACTGATGATGTGGTAGATTAACTGGTCCTCTGTCGGACAGTAGCAAGTGATTAAATATGATTGGAATCTTGGTCTGTTGGAATATTAGGTTCTGGGCTCCCATTCTAGGTTGACTGTCACTAAATTCATGGGTAAGATGGGATTACTGTGTCTGGTGTTAATAAAATATATTTTTAGTGCATTTTAAGTACTTTTAATTGACGTAAAAGGCTTCGTATGAAATATCAGAAGTATCTGTAAAGACCTGAATAGGTGTGCGTGTGTAAAGAAGGGTACGAGCAGAGAGTTCTCCAGTCATGGCTCTGGGGACTTTGAGTTGAGGCTGTAAGAGTCCCTCACACAGAGACATGCTCCCTGCTTCATCACTGTGATAGAAGTATCTCCTCTGGACATCTCTGAAAGCTCAGCTGGAGGAATCAGGATTCAGACCCCGTCTCCTGGCAGCTTGTGGTTCTACATTAACTGTGTAACTTTTGTGGAAGGACAAATGACTTAGATGGACGGCTGTGTCATCCCTCCTCCTGTATTTCATACTGTTCACATGTCTTTTAATGGGAACAGTTTTCACAAAGAAAAATGCCCAAGTAACTTGGGTAGTTTATTTTTTTATTTTATTTTATGTTTTTTGTGAGAGAGAGCACAAGCAGGGGGAGCGGCAGGCAGAGCAGGTAGAGGGAGAAGCAGGCTCTCTGCCAAGCAAGGAGCCCAATGTGGGACTCCATCCCAGGACCCTGGGATCATGACCTGAGCTGAAGGCAGATGCTTAATCGACTGAGCCATCCAGGTGTCCCTAACTTGGGTAGTTTTTAGAAAGCACTGTTAAGTTAAAATAATGCCACTTTGCAGTTTGAGAAAAGCATGGAAACATAATTGATTTTGTTGGAGGGGATTGCAACCCAATGTAGGGGTCCCCCAAGATTTCTAGTTGCTGTCACAGGACCCTCTCGCTCTTCCCTGCTTGTGTCGTCCTGTTCTTGCTTTGCCTGCAGCAATTACTTGCTTTGTGACCTTGGACAAATTACTTAGCCTTCCTGCCCCTCAGTTTGCTTATTTGTGTAAGAACTATGTGTACCTGATATCATAGTTGTTATGAAGGTAGTTAATGTAGGACTTAGAACAACAGTCCTTGTCAGAATGTAATAAACATGGCCGGTTAAACCAATTTCCCAAAGCTGGAAGGTGAGACTTGAAACAAGTTTTTAAAAAACAAATTGTGTTTTAAGAGTGTATGTATCATCTCAATCCTTATTGGTCTGTGCTGGGTGCAGCGTTAGGGTATGAGTTTTTTTGAATTTTAGATAACTGCATTAGGCTTGGCACTGTGACTTAACAGATGATGAACAAGTGCTATAACATGTCAAAATAAGGATTATTCTATTCTGTTAAAAGCAGTTGTGGAGGTTTTTAATGAGTCTCTGTGTGAGAAAGTATCTTTACAGATACTTCCATCAAGTTCACCTCTCCCAGTCTCCAAAGTTGTGCATGCTGAATTTCAGCGTAATAACACTGGCTGAGCTCTTCATAAATTCATTAGCCCTGGGGGCTGTGTTCAGCTACCCATGGGCAAAGATCAGACTGTTACATTCTTCATAGCTGTCCCTTAGTTTTACTAGTTGAAACATAAGGCTAGGTTAGATCTATTTCTTCTCCCAATTTGTATACAATTAGAATGTTGTGTCAGCCACAGTTATGGCAAGGGATTACCATGGATTTATGCACGTTTTGTTTTGCCTTGGTACAACTCCTAGTTAAGATCCATAACTAAAATACATACAGAGGAGAGTAAACTTCACAGTTGTGAGTTTGAATGATCCAGCCTCCTCTCCACAAATATACTTTACTAGGGACTCCTGTCCTTTTTTTTTTTTCTTCATTCAAAAGAAAAGCCTTCCCTAGAGGTACCTGGCTGGCTCAGTCGGTTGAACATGGGACTCTTGATCTCAGGGTCATGAGTTTAAGCCCCACATTGGGTGTGGAGCATGCATAAAATAAAAATTAAAAAATTTTTAATTAAAAAAAAGGTCTTCCCAGACTGATGGATAGTGAACATATGCAAGATACATGCTTGGGGCTTGGGGTTGTGGCCAGTTGTCCCATAGGAATGCACCTGTCTTAGAACATCATGGCCAACCAGAACGGAGGAAAAGAAAAAGGAAAAAAGTGGAGTTTGTGAAAGGAAGGGAGGATAGAGGGAAAGTAGGAAGGGCAAGGAAAGAGTGTGAGTCCTGTGAAGAGTTAAAGATGTGGGGGAGGCAAAAACGAAAGGTGACTGGCACTGGGAAAGAATCAGCAATGCCGAATTCTCTCCTTTTTAAAGACAACACTGAAAATAATAAGGCCTTTGTCCTCTGGGGGGAAATAAAAGCTGGTAATGGAGTTGCCACTAGGTTGTGTGTAGGTGAAGGTATCGTTTGTGACTTGCTTGTTGGTCACCCAGCTAGTGTGGCAGAGCCTGGTTTTATTTATTTTTTAAAGATTTTATTTATTTATTTGACAGACACAGCGAGAGAGGGAACACAAGCAGGGGGAGTGGGAGAGGGAGAAGCAGGCTCCCCGCCTAGCAGGGAGCCCGATGCGGGGCTCGATCCCAGGACCCTGGGATCATGACCTGAGCCGAAGGCAGACGCTTAACAACTGAGCCACCCAGGCGCCCAGAGCCTGGTTTTAAATACAGGTCTTTTCTGGGGTGCCTGGGTGGCTCAGATGGTTAAGCGTCTGCCTTCGGCTCAGGTCATGATCCCAGGGTTCTGGGATCGAGTCCCGCATCGGGCTCCCTGCTAGGCGGGGAGCCTGCTTCTCCCTCTGCCTCTGCCTCTCTCTCTCTCTCTGACTTTCATGAATAAATAAATAAAATAAATAAATAAATAAATACAGGTCTTTTCTTTCCAGTATCATGCAGCATGGCTTGTGTTTATGTTTTTGAGGGGGCAGAACACAAGGGAAGATGTTGGTACCAACAAAGCAATATAGGCAACAGAGCGGGGCAGCGTATGCTGATGGGGAAATAAGCTCCAGTTCCTGCAGTTCCTTCCCACTGTTCCTCTCGTGGATGTAAGCTTTTTCTGATGCTCTGGCTGGACCTTGCATCTCTATTTCTCAGGTGTGGGAAATGCTTAATGTCGTCTAAAACAAAAAAAAAACCAACCTCCAAGTAGGTTAGTAAATGCATTATTTGTTGTCTTACTGAGGACTATCACCCAGGAAACAGTATTTCAGATTGCTCAGAACTGCTCTGAAACTTAGCTTCACAGGGGGTTATATACGCAAAAGCGGGAAGGGGTAGATGTGCTTGCAAGCAGTTCTCTAATTATGATTATGTGTCACAAGGTACAATCAGTTCCGTTGTAAAAATTCAGCTTCACTGATTTACACATAGACGTGTGAAAAATGCTTGGGTCATCTTAATACACTGTTTCTATCATATTTGTTAAAAAATATTGCCTGCAGACCTCTGCCTAACTGGTTTCCACTTCTTGTTTTTGGTTTCTGCTTGAGGTCACCTCAGACAGTCACAGAAGGCTGACATCTTTAGCCTATTTTAAGGCACTGCAGTTTTCATGCACACTACTATTTCCATATGTATTAGCAGGCATCTCAAACTTGTCCAAAACTGAACAGATCTTATCACCCCCCATTCTCTCAGAAATTGCAACTCTAACCTTTCAGTTGCTCAGCTGAGAACTTTTGGGTCATTGGATCTTTTTTCCTAACACACATCTGGTATCGACAAGATCTAGAATCCAACCCTTCTCACTAGCTGCACTGCCATACTATCCTCGACCGTCCTATCATTCCTCCAAAGTTACTAAAATGTTCAGAGCCCGCGGCCGATTTCAGCAGCTATCACTCAACCCGTTTTCTCATGCAGTCCCAGAAACACATGGATGGGTTTCCACCTCAGGGCCTTAGCCCTTGTGGTTCCCTTTGCCTCGGGAGGTCTTGCCCTACGTAGAAGTATGGTTAACTCCCTTCCTCATTCCGGTCATGGCTCAACTGTCAGTGAGGACTCCTCGGACTACACTATGTTAAGCTGGGACCATGTTCCCCTTCCATGCTTAATTTTTCTCTTTGCACTATCACCATTTGATACAGTATGTTTTTCTCGATAAATGTATTCATAGTAGAAGAATTCCCCGGGGTTGGGGGGGGGGTGGGCCGGGATTAGTTTTTTTTTTTTTTAAGATTTTTTAAATTTATTTTTTAGAGAGCGAGCAAGCGAGAAACAGCATGAGAGGGGAGAGGGTCAGAGGGAGAAGCAGGCTCCCCGCCGAGCGGGGAGCCCGATGCGGGACTCGATCCCAGGACCCCGGGATCATGACCCGAGCCGAAGGCAGACGCTTAACCATCTGAGCCACCCAGGCGCCCCCAGGGATTAGTTTTTAATTACTATTTACTCAGTGCTTAGAACCGTAAAAAGCAGGTGCCCAATAATACTTGTTGCATGAACAGGAGCAGCGGAGCAGTCCCAGGAAACTCTCGCACCGCAAGGTTCTGGCTTAGTTGCCGCTGCCGCAATCAGTCCTTCATGCCAACCTTATAGAAATAATACACAAAATTCAAGCTCCTAAGATCCCAGGTCGACGGCTACCCGGCTGAACAGAGATCACTTTTCCCGCACTTTTCCCGCCTTTTTGTGAATAACGGCTGAAAGCGGGGCAAGAGGCTCCTTCTCGCACCCTCTTCAGCTTCTGGGACGCCCGGCCCCCGAGCGCCCTGCTCCAGCGACCGACGCTCGCAGCCAGCGGAACGTTTGTGCGTCGCCGCCGCGCGCAGGGGAAGGACTTCCGCCGAGGCCTTGGAGCGGACTGGACGGAGCTTCCGGGTAGAGCGGCGTCCTACGGGACCGGTGAGTCCGTGGGTAGAGCTCCTCGCTGAGCGAAGGTGGGGACCGACCGTCTGGGGAGCACGGCAGCGAGGAGGGGCTTTCGCGGCGCGGCGGGGGGTGGGGGGCGGAGGCTGAAGGGGGCCGACCAGCCTCTTGTGCGTTGTGGTTGAGGGTGGGAGGGAGCGTGTGAAGGGGGAGGAGGGCAACTTCCGTCTCGTAGCTGCATAGAACCATCTAGGGCTGCAGTCCAGGGAATGGCTCTCCTTCCCTAAAGCAGAACGCGAGTTTTGGGAGTTGTGGTCTTGGGTTCGAGTTTGATTGCCTCCAGCTGTGTGACCTCGCGAGCGTTATCGGCCTTTTGAGCCTCGAGTTCCATGTATGAAAACAGGATAGTGATCACCCATGTCTAATAGCGCTGGGCAGGGTAAGGTGTGAATAAAACCTTCATAAATTGCGATGTTTGGTGCAGATCTCGTTTGTTTGCAGTAGCATTCTGAGCTCATGTGACAGGAATCACACCAACAGGCTGACGCTAGGCACAGTGGCTTTTCTGGAGTTGGAGTCTCAGGAAACGGATCAGCTTTTGGAGATACGGACCTAAGAGGTCACCAACTACATCTTTCTCGAGGATGCGTAACTTTCCTCTCTATTAATAACATGCATTATAAACTTCCAACTTCCCTTGGAACATCTGTAGTTATGGGAGCTTAATACCTCTGTCCTATCCCTGTAATTTCCCATTGCAGTCAGCTCTAATTAGGAGGTCCTTGGATGAAGTGAGCCAGAAGTGTTCCTCTGCAGTTTCTGCTCATCAGTTCTCACTGTGTTTCTGAACTTTAAGAAAGTTAAAATAATAAACTAAGAATAAAATAGCAGTGTAAATATTGATATGTTGGATGGCAGTAGTGACTTTGTAAGAATTTAAGTTTAAAAACATCAAGAACACTATGTAAGCTTTGATTTTTGTAATTCACAGTAAATACAGAAACTTTCATGGAGGATCAAAAAGTTCATTTAAGGGCGCCTGGGTGGCTCAGTTGGTTAAGCACCTGCCTTTGGCTCAGGTCACGATCCCAGGGTTCTGGGATCAAGCCCCACATCGGGCTCCCTGCTTGGCGGGAGGCCTGCTTCTCCCTCTCCCACTCCCCCTGCTTGTGTTCCTGCTCTCGCTGTCTCTGTCTCTGTCAAATAAATAAATAAAATCTTAAAAAAAAAAAAAAAGAATCATTTAAAAAAAAAAGTTCATTTAATCACCATATCCTCTTCCTGCACTCATCATTAAACTTACAAGCACCAGCACAGTGTGTTGAAATAACACAAATGTTAGAATTAAGTCACTTGTCATTACTTCAGGCAATCTACCGAAGTATATACTAAAGTAGATCACCAGATTTCCTGAAACAAATAGATTTCTTCCAATGCCAGGGAATGGTTTGTTAATTCAGTGAGAGATACAGAACTTTAGCAAATAATACCTGATTATAGCAGGTGCCACAGAAAGCAGTGATGCCATGAAAGCAGTCTCCAACTTGTTAGTAGAGTTTCATTCCAAAAGTCCATTTATAAGTCAGTTCTTCAGATTTTAAAATATATTTTTCTGTAGAAAATCATGATGTAGGTGGAGGGTAAGGTCTTGCTTATGGTCCTTATTACAGAAATTAATTTTTGCTCCTGTCAGTGATGGGATTTGTTTTGTCCTTAACGTCTTCTTGGCCCTTATGATTCCTTTGATCATATATGGAAGAAGGAAGCTGAAGGAAGTGAGAGCATAGGATGGGGAGGGAGATACCATTTGGGAGGATGGAAGTGTAGATGTGACTAAAATGTTTATTACTTGGCCCTGGTTAATAGATTTCCCCCGCCACCAGTTTTATCCCTGATTATTAAAGAAATACATGTTCATATGAAAAATACGAAAATACAGAAAGTAATAAAAAAAACCAGTCACCCTTCATCTAGATGAAACTGTGTTGTATTGAATTACTGAACATTTCCTTTTTCTTTTTTTAATAGTTGAGATCATAATATACATTTAATATTGTGTCCTTTTTTGAGTTATGAGCTATTAGCATTTACCATTTATAAATAATAATTTTCATTTTAAAACTCATGATTGTGATGGGACACCTAGCTGGCTCAGTCAGTAGAGCATGTGACTCTTGGTCTCCGGGTTGCGAGTTTGAGCCCCACTTTGAGCATAGAGCTTACTTAAAAAAAAATTTTTTTTAAAGATTTTATTTTTATTTATTTGACAGAGAGAGAGATAGCGAGAGCAGGAACACAAGTGGGGGGTGGGGGAGGGAGAAGCAGGCTTCCCGCGGAGCAGGGAGCCTGATGGGGGGCTTGTTCCCAGGATCCTGGGATCATGACCTGAGCTGAAGGCAGCCGCTTAACGACTGAGCCACCCAGGTGCCCCAGATTTTTTTTTATTATAAGAAAACTCACACACATATAGAAAGGTAGACAGGTAGTACAGTGAATCACCATGATCCATCACCCAGCTGTAATAATAACCATCATTTGTAGCTAATCTTGTTTCATCTATACCTTTACTCACTTTCCATAGTTCTGTGGTCTTGTCCTATGACTATAATGCATTTTTGTTTTTAAAAATTGTAAAAAAGAGGGCGCCTGGGTGGCTCAGTTGGTTAGGCGACTGCCTTCGGCTCAGGTCATGATCCTGGAGTCCCGGGATCGAGTCCCGCATCGGGCTCCCTGCTCGGCGGGGAGTCTGCTTCTCCCTCTGACCTTCCCCCTTCTCTTTATTTATTTATTTATTTATTTATTTTAAAGATTTTATTTATTTGAGAGAGAATGAGAGAGAGAGCATGAGGGGGGGAGGGTCAGAGGGAGAAGCAGCCTCCCCACCGAGCAGGGAGCCCGATGCGGGACTCGATCCCGGGACTCCAGGATCATGACCTGAGCTGAAGGCAGTCGCTTAACCAACTGAGCCACCCAGGCGCCCTGACCTTCCCCCTTCTCATATGCTCTCTCTCATTCTCTCTCTCTCAAATAAATAAATAAAATCTTTAAAAAAAAATTGTAAAAAGAGGGCGCCTGGGTGGCTCAATCGTTAAGCGTCTGCCTTTGGCTCAGGTCATGATCCTGGGGTCCTGGGATCGAGTCCCACATCGGGCTCTCTCCTCAGGGGGAGGCCTGCTTCTCCCTCTCCCACTCCCGCTGCTTGTGTTCCTGCTCTTGCTATCTCTGTCTCGGTCAAATAAATAAATAAAATCTTTAAAAAAAAATTGTAAAAAGAGGGGCTCCTGGGTGACTCAGTCATTAAGCGTCTGCCTTTGGCTCAGGTCATGATCCCAGGGTCCTGGGATCGAGTCCCACTTCAGGCTCCTTGCTCAGTGGGGAGCCTGCCATTCCCCCTGTTTGTGTGCTTGCTCTCTCTCTGACAAATAAATAAAAATCTTTAAAAAAACTTTTAAAAAATTTGTAAAAAGATGCTTATCTCTCTTGGTGCCAAACTTGTGCGTAAACGTTTATATTTTTTCTTACGGACAGGAAAAAGAGTTCCATGAGGATTTTGTGAAGTATTTTCATTCAACAACAATTATTAAATAAATTGCAAAGAATTAGATGACCTTGCATTCTCTGTTTCTTACTTTGTATGTTTGCTTCCCTCTCTTTACTTTTCACATTTAAATGTATGAATTTTGTGCCAGATATTTTTAGAAAATTCACACTCAGTGACTTTTACAGGATACTGAATAATACATTTAAGGAAAAAATGGATGAAGAACCTGAAAGAACTAAGCGATGGGAAGGAGGCTATGAAAGGACATGGTGAGTAGGGCATTATGACTCCCTTCTTGTTTACACATTATTTCTTACTGTTCTTCTACACCTTTATCTCTCTTCTTGTTCAGTGATTGGTTTTTTAAATTTATTAAAGTATATTTAACGCATGTTAAAATTCACCTGTTTCCATCTCATAGTTCATTGATTTTTAGAAGATTTACTGAGTTGTGCAGTCATCACCATAAATCAGTTTTAGAAAATTTTCACCACCCCATTAAGATCCTTCATGCCCAGGGATGCCTGGGTGGCTCAGTCCATTAAGCGTCTGCCTTAGGCTCAGGTCATGATCCCAGCGTCCTGGGATTGAGCCCCGCATCGGGCTCTGTGCTCAGCGGGGAGCCTGCTTCTCCCTCTCCCTCTGCCTGCCTGTCTGCCTACTTGTGATCTCTCTCTTTCTCTCGCTGTCAAATAAATAAAATCTTTAAAAAAAAAATTAAAAAAAAAAATACTTCATGCCCATTTGCAATTAACTTCATTCCTACCTCCAGCTGTAGGCAACTGCTAATCTACTTTTTGTCTCTATGCATTTGCCTTTTTGGGTATTTCATGTATATGTAATCTTATAATATGTGGTCAGTATTGTCTCGCTTTCATACAACAGTATTTTCAAGGTTCATCCATGTTGTAGCAGGGATCAGTAATTCATTCCTTTTTATTACTGAATAGCATTATGTTGTATACCATGTTTTCATTCATTCATTCATCAATTGATGGACATTTAGATTGATTATACTTTTTGGCTTTTATGAATAATGCAGCTGTGAACATTCATGTGCAGATCTCTGTGTGGACATATGTTTTCATTTCTTTTGGGTTAATAAAATTTTAGCTTTTCAAACAAGTAAATATTGCTTATAGGGAGATTCTTAAAGAAGATGAGTCAGGATCACTTAAAGCTACGATAGAAGACATTCTCTTCAAAGCAAAGAGAAAAAGGTATGTAAACTTTTTGTAGGTGTGTTACAAAAGATAAAATAGATTCCTTTAAGCCTTTCTGTCCACCTATACCCACTCCTCAGTACTTCATTTCAGCTGTATTCCAGAAAAACTGACCTTTAAACTCTTGAGTAGGGGGAAGGAACCAGCAACCTAGCACTTCAGAAGGGAAATGGGTCTTCAGGGACTGTCCAAAATGCCTGTAATTATGTGAACCCCATAAGTTAATAATTTACTTCACTAGAAAATGCAGGTTAGTTGAAAAATTATATTGATTTTTTGGGTAATAGAGGACATTCCATTAAAATGTTTGCATAATTTTAACAGAGTATTTGAGCACCATGGACAAGTTCGACTTGGAATGGTATGTTGACATTTTTTTTCTTTACCAGTACAGAACTAGTTGGGTTAGAGAAGCATTCTGTCTTGACAGAATTAATAACAGTAAGACAACAAATGTTTTAGAAGAATATATTAAAAATATATGTGTATGGGCACCTGGGTGGCTCAGGTGGTTAAGCGTCTGCCTTCGGCTCAGGTCATGATCCTGGAGTCCCAGGATAGAGTCCCACATCGGGCTCCCTGCTCAGCGGGGAGTCTGCTTCTCCCTCTCCCACTTCCCCTGCTTGTGTTCCCTCTCTCGCTGTCTCTCTCTCTGTCAAATAAATAAATAAAATCTTAAAAAATATATATACATATATATGTGTAAAATATGTAAATACTAAATGCCATTTTTACTTCTTGGTCAAAAATGAATTTGAAAATTGTTATATTTGTGGTTTATTTTTGGTAGATGCGTCATCTTTATGTGGTAGTAGATGGATCAAGAACAATGGAAGACCAAGATTTAAAGCCAAATAGACTGACTTGTACTTTAAAGGTATAGTAAAATCATTTTAATTTATACTAAACGTGAGAAAGGACACTGAATTCTAAAAAAAAAAAAATTTTTTACTATAACATCTTTATTAAGATATAATTCACATACCATAAAATCAACTTACTTAAAATATACTGTTAAAATTTTTTGCCTGTTACAGAGTTGTGCAACATTATTACCACAGTCAGTTTTAGAGCATTTTTATCATTACAAAAAGAAAACCCAGGGATACCTGACTGGCTCAGTCAGAGGAGTGTGCGACTCTTGATCTCAGGGTTGTAATTTTGAGCCCCATGTTGCGTGCAGAAATTACTTAAATAAATAAAACTTTAAAAAAAAAAAAAAAAGGAAAGGAAAACAGAAGCAAATTTTCTGTAGTTTTGCCAAGCAGTATTCCATTGTATACAACTTTGGGTTGTTTCCACTTTTGGGGGCCTTTTATGAGTAATACTGCTGGGAACATCTGTGAACAGGTTTTTGTGTGGAGGATGTTTTCCCTTCTAAAGCTTGATTTTAGCTTGGGTAGTTTATGTTTTATCCACTTTTCTGTGGCCTAAGAATAGCAGCTGGGATGAAATGGTGTGCCCCAAAGGGGTGAAGCTCAGCTTGGGTGGTGTGCAGACTCTGCTGGATTTACAGGGGTTCATTTTATCTTCTGAGATTATATTAACTGTCCTGTATCTTGTTTAACTAACTGGGCAGGGGAGGGAGGATATAATGCATTTCCATGAGGAGATATTCCCAGCCTTGGAACTCTTTCCCTCAGTTAAGTGTGAAGCTTGGATTCTTCTCTTCTGAAAGGAGGGTTAGTTGTTGATTTCTTTCCCTATTCATTCATAACTTCTGGTAGTAGAGGAAAAAGATAACAATACTCTCTCTCTTCACTTCTTTCCCAAAGCAAGAGTATTAGTGAAATTTCCCAGGACTTTTTTCAGTCATGAATGGGGCTTCAGAGGAGTAGGATGAAGTAGATGCTGAATCATACTGCTGGACTCAATTCTGCTCCAGAATCCTCCGTTCCTTTTCTTGTACATAAGTTTTCTAAATTTACTAGATTAGATTTGTCCTTTATCTTCTCTATTGGTGAATGTGTGTGTATTTATTACAGTACTGATCCACTCTCCACAGTTGAATGTCCACAGCATTCTCTATTTAACACACTCCAGTTGGAATGGTACCTTCACAACTACATTTTCAAGGTCCACCATAACCTCCAGGATGTGAAACTCAACTCCTTTTTATCTTTAGCAGCAACTGAAATAGTTGACACTCAATCCTTCCTGAAAGGCATTCTTTTTTTGTTCTTTTTGTTTGTTTGTTTTTGTTTTTTGGGTTTTTTTTTAAAGAATTCTGTACCCCTGCTGTGGGGCTCGAACTCACGACCTCATGATCAAGATTCCCACACTCTAAGGACTGAGCTAGCCAGGCACCCCAACATCCTTCTTTTGACTTTCATTACATGTAGTCTTTTTATTTCGTCTTAGGCTCCCCTCTCCCACTTTAAAATGCTGGAATGCCCTAGGACTTGGTCATAGTTCTTTTTTTTTGTCTACTCTTCTTCCCTTGAGTAAATACTATACATTCCCATGAAGAAATTTTTTTAAAGAATGCATTTTTTTGAGTTTGTAATACAAACTATAGCTAAGTAGAAGTTCAATCACATCATTTAGGAAAATGATACAACAAAATGACTAATATTTATGCTCTTAATTTCTGTCCTCCCACCCCAGTCAGGGTCTTGCTTTGTCAATTATCCCTTTTCATTGTCTTTGGACTTAGATCATTCCGCCCAGTTTATAAACACATTCAGATTATTTGTAATTTATTAAAACCCATCCTCGGTTATGCTCATTCTCTTGTTTCTGGCTTCATAGGATCTTTCCATGTTTAGATTACATCTGTCTCACAAGTCCAAATGGTTCCATCTTTTATTTATCTTTTTATTTTTCGAAGATTTATTTATTAGAGAGAGCACATGTGCCAGGGTGTGGGGGAGGGGCCGACAGAATCTCCAGCAGACTCCCCACTGAGCACCGAACCTGACTTGGGGCTCAATCTCATGACCCTGAGATCACTGTCTGAGCCAAAATCAAGAGTCGGACCCTTAACCAACTGAGTCACCCAGCGCCCTGGTTCTATCTGTTAAACCCAGTTCATCACTTACCATTTTAAATTCAGGCTTATTTAATACTGTGATTTTTATTTATTTGAATATTTTAAAATTTATTTTTGTTTATTTAATATTTTTACTAAAATATTTGAAAATATTTTACTAAATATATTTGAAAATCTATGAGCCTAAAAATCTCAAGAGAAGTGATGCTTGATAAATAGGTTTCACAAAACATTTCTTTATGGTTATTATTTTGCCCTTATCTAGTATTTTTGTTTTCTTTAAACAGTTATTGGAATACTTCGTAGAAGAATATTTTGATCAAAATCCTATTAGTCAGGTATGTAAATAAGTGATGGAATTCAGATTTAGATTCCTGATATTACTGCCAATTCTAATTTATTTTTAAAACGCTGGGCATACATTCTGTGAATTATTAAGTGATCCAGATTGTGTACCAGTTTCTGGTACACTTATCAGTGACAAGCAAGGCAACTCTAAAAGTTAAATAATGTACAGTAAACTCATAGCTAAAGTTCTGTCAAAAGCATCATAAGAAAAAGCTTCTCATATGTTACTTATGTCTTTTGTAATTACTAATTTATTTTCATTATGTACATTCTTATGAAGAAGTAATTTGTTAAGTTAATAATCATTTTTGTTTTTATTTTGAGATTGGAATAATTGTAACAAAGAGTAAAAGAGCTGAAAAACTGACCGAACTCTCAGGTATGCATAAAATTACCTTTATAGGACTCAAGGACTTGGCTCTATTTACTCAACCTTGTAACCCTGTTCATAAGGTTGCCTAATAAGTAAAATGAAGACTTCTTTTATGCTCTCCATGTGAAACACTTAATAACCCCTCGATTAAATCCTCCAGTAAACTCTTGGTATCTAAGACGAACTGTTTTAAATTGAGTTCTGTACGGTAATGAATACTACTGCAATGAATGTAAATGTTTATTTAAGACTTACACATTCTTATCCTGAAAGTATTAAGATAAAATTACTGTAACCATTCAAAAAATCCACTTAGTCTTAAAATTAATTTTTTAAAAGTTAAACCTCTAAAGAGCAAAGGATTTAAAAATTGAATTGCAGTTACTATTAATAATTCAGTTTTTCTGCTTACATGACATGTCTAACTGAATTTTATTCTGTTAAAAGATAGTGCAGGTTTTATTTGCTTTGGTGCTGTTTTAACAAATTCACATCACTAATTCTATTTTAATTTCTGTGAAATACACTATCCCTTAAATGTGGTTCTCATCCTTTCATCCTTACCAATACAGATAAATTTGAAATGACATATTTTCATCATTAATAGTTTTTCACTGTGGCAGTAAGGAGTGAAATGTATGTTAGCCTGGAGTGATCAAGAAATTCAGTTATGAGTAACCAAAAAAATCTCAAACTAGCTTTAGCATACAAGGGAAATTATTGAGTCCCATCTAAAGGAGGGCTGATTTCACACATGGTAGTTTCCAGGGTTCCTGGCTCTGTTTGGCTTTATTCTCTGAAGTGAGGTGAAAAGATGTCTGTTACTAGCCCTGAGTCTCCATGACCCTTATAGTCTGTAGCTTCAGCACAAGTCCCACAGAGGTCTCGGAATGACCCTGCTTCTGATTTGCCCACCCATGAACAAAGTGGCCCGAGGAATGAAGTACTGTGTTGGTAGGCCTGGATTACATGCCTGTTCCTGGAGCAGGATGGAAGCAGGGTAAGCAGCTGGTTTGTTATACTGTGAGGACAGGATGGTTTCTCCTGGGAAAGGACGTAGGACCCTCTTGGCACCCTTCTCATATTCAGAGTAGTTTTCTATGGGTGCCAGAGAAGTCATACATATAGGGATGAAAAATCCTCTGGATATTTTGATAGGCCTCTTGACGGCACTCCTTGTCTGTCTGCTCAGAATCACTGCTGTAAACCACACTGACAGTAATCGAGTTCGCTTTTTTCCTATACTCACAATACAATAGGAGGTGAACGAACTATTTTGTATGGTATGGTAGAAAGAGAAGTGGATAGAGAGCCAGGAGATGTAGGTTTAAGTGCTGGTCCTGCCACTGGGTAGGTATTTGTCTTTAGGCAAATCTTTTAGCTTGTTAGATTCATTTTTCACTTATGAAATGAGGGATTTGGACTTAGTGATGTCCATTTCTAAAATCTTTTCATTTCTAAAATCTTCGGATTCCGAGACTAAATAAATACTTGAAGTATGTACTAAATAAATACTTGAAGTATGTATTAAATAATGGCAAATGCTTAGTATTTTAAAACTTAGATAAATAAGAACATGAAGAAGCTATAAGTAGATGAATGGACAAAGACAACAGATAATTCATACCAGAATAAAAAGAGAAACAAAATAGCTATTAAAAAAGAAATTTTAGCCAAACAAGTGGTCAAAAAACACCACCACACAACAACATTTTATTATTTTATATATTTTAAATGAACAAAATGAAGTTTAAAAAGTAGTATATTGCTTGTGGAACCATGGAGAAACTGGTACCTATAGTGCTGATAGACTGATTAATTTATTTAATATTTTTGGGAAAAGATACAAAAATGGTTGTTCCTTGGAATTTATACTTAAGAAACATTATGAAAGAAGAAAAAGCCTCATTCTACAAATACAGTCTTCGTAACAGTAGTGACAAATTGGGAAGACATGTTCAACGGTATGGAAGTAGTTTGATGAATTATGTAATCAAACAATTTAATGATATTTTGATTATCATTAATTAACATGAAGATTGTGTTGAAATAGGAGATGTCAGAAGAATACCGTATGTCATTGAATCTAAGATTGCATCATTTGTAAGATACCTTTGTTTTATCAGCTATCAAGAAGGAAACACCCTAGCAGTTAAAATTTGATACAGTGTCAGATGATATATATAAATTGTTCACACCAAAAAATGTATTGCTTGGTATGAGAAAATAGCTATAGACAATCTTTTCAGATGTAATTTCAGTAACAGAAGATAACATAGCTGTATTTATTTGCGGAAATCTTCCTTTCTTAGGTCTTCTAAATCCCTTTTTAAATTAAAAAAAAATTTTTTTTTATTTTAAAGATTTTTATTTATTTAACACAGATAGAGAGCACAAGTAGGCAGAGCAGCAGGCAGAGGGAAAGGGAGAAGCAGGCTCTCCGCCAAGCAGGGAGCCCGATGTGGGGCTCGATCCCAGGACTCTGGGATCACGACCTGAGCCGGAGGCAGCCGCTTAACCGACTGAGCCACCCAGGCGCCCCTAAAGCTCTTTTTTTTAATCCCCTGAAGAAAAATAGGGAATTGCAGTCATTCTTCCATCAATGAATTTTTGCTTCACTGATAATGTATGCCTCACTGCTCTGTTCCTTGCCTTTCTACATAAAAATAGAACCTTTTGTAGAAACACTTGAAATGGCAGTGAAACTAGCCACGAAGAGCACAATGTACAGGCGCAGTTGCAACAGCACCGCGGTAGCCATGCGTAGGCTCACGTGGGAGCAGGCCGTGACGTCACGTGGGAGCAGGCCGTGACGTCACGTGGGAGCAGGCCGTGACGTCACGTGGGAGCAGGCCGTGACGTCACGTGGGAGCAGGCCCGTGACGTGTGCCGCACAGGTGCTCCCTGGCTGCCAGTGATGGTGCGACGCGGCGTGACTTAAGAGATGTGACAATGTGAAAATGTATGAGTCTTAAATGTAAGAAGTTTTGCATTTGAAGTTAGTAATATTTAAAATATGTGCTAATAGGGCACCTGGCAGGCTCAGTCAGTAGAGCATGCAACTCTTGGTCTCGGGGTCATGAGTTCGAGCCCCACGTTAAAAAAAAAAAATGTGGGGCGCCTGGGTGGCTCAGTCGGTTAAGCGGCGGCCTTCGGCTCAGGTCATGATCCCGGGGTCCTGGGATTGAGTCCCACATTGGGCTCCCTGCTCAGTGGGGAGCCTGCTTCTCCCTCTGCCTCTGCCTGCTGCTCTGCCTACTTGTGCTCCCTCTCTCTCTGTCAAATAAATAGAATCTTAAAAAAAAAAATGTGCTAGTTCGCAGAAACAGATTATTTTTATTCTTTCAGTATGAAGTAAAAGTTGATATAACAACACCTCTGATAAAAGTGCAACTTGCTAAAAATGTAAATCAAGGAGATTCTATTCTTTAACAACATAGATAAGTAAATATGGGGAGAGACAAATTTCCATAATGTATATATAAAATGTTATTATAAGTAGATTATGCCATTTCTATTTTAGGAAACCCAAGGAAACATGTAACATCTTTGAAGAAAGCTGTAGATATGACCTGTCATGGAGAGCCATCCCTCTATAACTCCTTAAGCATGGCTATGCAAACTCTAAAGTTCGTATTTTACATTTTTTATTTATAATTGGTGTCCATTTTTTTTGAATGGAGATGAACACGTATCAGTATGTTTCTCCATAAACTGAGCTGCAATGAAACCGTTAAGAGAAATATGTAATGTCGTTTATGATGTTTAGTGTGGCGTTTGTAATTTTTATTTTACGTTTGAGTTGGTAAGATAGATTCTTAGAGGTTTTAGAAAAATGTAATTAAAACTGTAGCGATATTAGTACAAAATAAAATGTTGATGAAAAAGTATTTTGTTAAAAATTAGATTGTATATGAAATTGAATGTGCATAATAACTGTGAGTTTTTTGCACATTTATTGACTTCTCTTAACTTACTTTGTAGCACATCTGCAAATTAATAGCATACTCCTCCAGCAAGTTCAAATATGTGGAAGGTAGCTGAGACCCTAATGGAAATATTCCATTAGTGCTAGCGCCTGTATTTTGTCCCTGGATAGTCTGTCCTGACTTTTATAGCTTTATATAATAGATATTTTTCTAGTTTTGAAGTAGGTGAGAAGAAGCTAACACCCACATGAGAGGTAGGCACAAGAGCAGCATCCACAAATGAAACCTGAAGGCCCAGCAGTGCAGACAGAAGCAGGAAAGCTATAAATAGCTGATAAAATGGCATAGGTTAAGATTGCATAGAAATCTATTTACGTAGATTTAGGTAGGGGAAAATAGTTCATCATGTCCTAAAGTCCTATAAATTATCATATAATTAAATGATACACAAAAATTAATGTTTATGAATATTATCACTCTGAATCACCATGAGGTTAAATTTAACCTTTAAAAAGGAAGCATGTTACAATTGTCAAGACACACCTTAAAGTTGATCCATATGCTATTGTCATACTTTCCAGTGTACACGTTAGACTTTGTACAAAACGAATCTACTAGGTTGTAAGCTTCATGATGTCAGGAACCTCATTCATTCTTGCTTATTACTCTGTTCCTAGAACCTAAAAGAGTATTCAGTAAATATTTATGGAAACAATAAATGAATCAGTTTTTTGTGTAGCTAATTTTAGAAAAATTTAACATGTTTAGAGTATACTCAATTTATTCCTTTGCAATGTTAAAACAAATGAGATATTCTGTGGTCTAAATATATAAACCACATGTACTATTTTGTCTGGGTAAATTTTTTATTAATTTGTTATACCTAATGGGAATATATTTTATCTTTCTGTAGACACATGCCTGGACATACAAGTAGAGAAGTCCTAATCATCTTTAGCAGCCTCACAACTTGTGATCCGTCTAATATCTATGATCTAATCAAGGTAGAACCACTACCTTTCCTTATAATCAAAACCAGAGTTATAACTCTAAAGAGAATTCTATAGTGAATTTATTACTAGTTTTCAGAAAATTCTGTTTTTCAAACATACTAATTTTTGCATGTTTTTTTCCTTCCCCTGAAACCCTTTATTTACATGGATTTTATGAAGACCCTAAAGGCAGCTAAAATTAGAGTGTCTGTTATCGGATTATCTGCAGAGGTTCGGGTTTGCACTGTACTTGCTCGTGAAACTGGTGGTATGTATCTAGATTCTTCAGTATTTATTCATAATTACTCTGTAAGAAGTAACAATTTATTAATTAGTATGTTTTCATCTGTTTTTACAGTACTAAATTTAAATCACTTCATGTCCTGAAATCCATAATATGGATAGTCATCTTAAATGTATCATTGATTCTATAAGATATCTCAAAATGCAGGGACTTTTCAGTAGTTATGTCAGTGTTTAGAGGAAGTGTTAATAACTCTTGAAATGCTAGAAATTTCACTAATATGTAATACTTTGTAAAGATCTTACAACTTGGCTTTAATTAAATTGTAATTATAGTTATTCCCAGAGAAGTCAATTTAGAGATGTCATTTAAATGAGGTTTTTGAAAAATGATAATTTAACTTAAATACTTATTTTGAAAATGTACATTTTCAGATGGCAAAACTTTTACAAAATTACATAGGAATTACAATTGAGGGGCTCCTGACTAACTCAGTCGATAGAATGTGCGACTCTTGATCTTGGGGTTGTGAGTTTGAGCCTGGGTGTAGAGATTACTTAGAATAAAATTTTAAAAAAAAAGAAAGAAAAATTACAATTGATACTTATATCTGGAAAGCTGATTTTTCTTTTACTTTTTGTCTAATTAGGCACATACCATGTTATTTTAGATGAAAGCCATTATAAAGAATTGCTGACACATCATGTTAGTCCTCCGCCTGCTAGCTCAAGTTCTGAATGTTCACTTATTCGCATGGGTAAGTGTTTATTTTGTGTTATTTTAAAGTGGATATTTAGGAGCACGTGGGTGACTCAGTCGGTTAAGCGTATGCCTTCGGCTCATGTCATGATCTTGGGGTCTTGGGATCCAGCCCTGCATCGGGCTTCCCTGCTCGGTGGGAAGTCTGCTTCTCCCTCTCCCTCTCCCTCTGCCCTTCCTGCTGTTGCTCTTTCTGTCTCTCTCTCAAATAAGTAAAACCTTTAAAAAATAATAAAAATAAAATAGATATTTATTTTTGAAGATTTATTTGAGGGGTGCCTGGGTGGCTCAGTCGTTAAGCGTCTGCCTTCGGCTCGGGTCATGATCCCAGGGTCCTGGGATCGAGCCCCGCATCGGGCTCCCTGCTCAGTGGGGAGCCTGCTTCTCCCTCTCCCATTCCCCCTGCTTGTGTTCCCTCTCTCTTTATCAAATAAATAAATAAAATCTTAAAAAAAAAAAAAAGATTTATTTGAGAGAGGGAGTGTGCGCACCAACCTTAGGGAGGGACAGAGAGAGACGGAGAGAGAATCTCAAGCAGACTCCATGCTGAGCATGGAGCCCTGTGTGGGGCTTGATCTCATGACCCTGAGATCATGACCTGAGCCGAAATCAAGAGTTGCATGCTTAACCAACTGAGCCATCCACGCACCTCTACTTATTTGTTTTGCTATATAGATAGACTTAAAATTTTTATGTAGTGAAATCTTTTTTTTTTTTTTTTATTGTTTTTGCTTTTCTTGGACGTGTTGTCAGAATTTGAAAAATATGTATGGAAAACAAACTATGGGTTTAGGCATTCCAAAATTTTAAGCATAGAAGTATATTCTTATATAAAATGAAAGTGGACAACTATGTAATAGATTACTCCAATGTATCAGAAGTATTTAAAAATTACAAACATTTTATTTTTAAAAAGCAGTGTGTGTTGTATTAAATTAGATAGTTATAAACTTAAGAATCTGCAACCATATGTATGGACAGATCTTTCCCCCACATTCTCCACTTTTAATTTTTCTCATAACCTGGAATTACAGTCAGCCTGACCATACTGTAGTAAACAAATCTGAAAGGCAGGAGAGAGAACTTTTGTACAACTTTGTGGGCTTTCTGGTAGGAACATTTTTAGGTTCCTAATCCAACAATTTTGCTATTTGCTTGAAAAAAGAAAGTAACACATTTTCTTCTATGAAGGATTTCCCCAGCATACCATTGCTTCTCTGTCTGATCAAGATGCAAAACCCTCTTTCAGTATGGCGTAAGTAAAAACCTTGAAACTCTCAGTGATTATGTTTGACATTTTTAATTCTTTCCTATAAGTTATAAATTAAAAAATATAAACTGAGTTATATGGGCTTGGGGTGTAATGGCTTTTGTAAAAAGGTTGCCTTCTATATAGCTGTAACAAGGAGTGAGGACTATCTCCGTTTACTCCTGTGTAGTAATCCTCAGGATCTGTTACTAAGTAAAACAGCAAAGTAGAGAAAAGTGTATTGTATGCTGCCACTCATCTAAGAAGAGGGTGGAGATCTGACTGGATATACATACTTGTTTATATTAATGATAAAAATAGTAATGGAAATAAAAAGTAAAAACTGAAAAAATGTTTACTTGGGCAGTACGTGGAGAAAGGCAAAGGGATGGCTCCTAGACCTTTCTGAACATACCTTGCTTTAACTTTAGAGCTTTATAGTTTACATAATTATAAAACAAAATTAAAGAAAGTAATTCTTAAAAATCACAAATAAGAGTTGTGTCTCCAGCTATAAAGGTACCATAGGGACTGAATGTACTGTCCTCCCTCTTACCAGAAAACCAGACAAAATATATGAAACAATGATTTTCAGATGTGGACAACAGGCAGTGCAGGTAATGATCCCTGAAGGCAGGGAAACAAATGAGGTGGGCCCTGTGAGTGCATCTTACTGCCTCGAGAGAATTTCCAGGCTGCAGTGCAGGGAGGGAAAACCCAACCAGAGCCTGGAGGTCTTGGTCAGGTGAAGAAACCAAGTTCAGAGTTTGGGGAGGCTGAAATGGCTGTAGTTTTCCAGGCACAGTGCTAGAAAGTAAAGAGCTGTACAGAAAGCTCTCAAGATTGCAGAGACTTCCCCATGAGTCATCAGCTGAGTTATGATCATCACATTTGTGTGGGAGCTACTAGAGACCAAGGAAAGAACCCCTGAATAGGAGCAGGCAGCATATCCGTGGAGCTCACACGGGGCAGGGAACAGTTCATGGTCCTACCAGTCAGTGTGGAGGGATATCTTAACAGTGGGCATTGAACAGAGTCCACAGTAATGGAACCAAATTAACCCTAGACTAACAGCTGTTCTGGATAGCCTAATGAACTCTAAAGCAAGTTTTGAACAGATCAAACTATTTCCAAGTTACTTAACTATATTCTAGAAGAAGCCCCAACATATTTAAGGGAATACCAAAAAATCCAGCACCTAAAACAAAGAAAAATCATAATGTCTGGCAGCAAATCAAAAATGACCAGGCATGCAACAAAGTAGGAAAATATGACCCATAATAAGGAGAGAATCATAGAACAGAAACATACTCAGAAACAACACAGTTGATGGAATTAGGCAAAGTATTAAAACAGCTATTACAAAAAAGACCCAAATCAAAGTTCTAGAGACAAATACAGTGTCTGAAATGAAAAATATACTGGATGGGACTAACAGCAGATGAGTCCCTGAAGAAAAGATGAGTGAATTTAAGGACATTAGTGCAATTTGGGCCCCTGGCTCGCTCAGTAGGAAGAGCATGCAACTCTTGATCTCGGGGTTGTGAGTTCGGGCCCCACATTGGGTGTGAGATTACTTAAAAAAAAAAAAAAATTAATACACACTATTCAAAACAGAAATGCAGAGAGAGAAGAAGAATGAACCTCGCTTAAATGAACTATGAAACAACTTCAAGATTTTAAAATCAAGGTAGCATACTTTGTTTTGCTATAACCATTCCCATCTTTATATATCACTTTAAAAGTACTGTTTCCTCCCACAGGCACTTGGATAGCAACACTGAGCCAGGACTAACATTAGGAGGGTATTTCTGCCCACAGTGTCGGGCAAAGTACTGTGAGCTTCCAGTTGAATGTAAAATCTGTGGTGAGAAACCAACTGTTCTTTATCTAGTAAATTAATCTTGAATAACTTCTTACCTATATTGCTAATAAAGTAAATGTAAATGTTAAGCTCTGCCTATACTTATGAATTTAATCTGTGAGAATAGGAAAGGATTATTTTTTTTATTGAGTACCCAGTACTCCATTTCTAAGAATAAACATGGCATTCTAGAACAGTTTTCTGATTCTCCCTCTGAAATGAGTATGTTAAAGGCTTTGCTGTAGATCTAGTAGACATTTTTGTAGCTCTTAACGTTCATAAAATATATATAAGGACAATGAGGAATTAAAGTGATAGAATTGTAGAATTTTGTTTCATTTTTAAGTAAGCAAACGGCCAAGAGAGGTCACACAATTAGTGACAGAAGTAAGACTCCATCCTGGAATCTCCTTTTTAAGGTGATATGTAAATGAAGAAATCAATACCAGCAGTCCTAAAAAAACCTTGAAAATATTTAGCCTATTATTTGACTTGTCAGCCATTGTCTTAATGAGGTTTGGGCTATTAAACATGATTCTCTGCTTTATTTGTTAGGTCTTACTTTGGTGTCTGCTCCGCATTTGGCACGGTCTTACCATCATTTATTTCCTTTGGATGCTTTTCAAGAACTTCCTCTAGAAGAACATAATGGAGAAAAGTATATGAGTTTTGATTAATTTATATCTGTTATATGTGGTAGAATAATGTTTGAATGTGTTGTTACTACATTAAAAAAGATAGTCATATTAACTTGGACAAGATTACTTGTAATTTGGAAAATGAGATGGTAGAATGCCTTGGTTGTGACTGAAGTGATTCATTATTAAACAGATCTGAATCTCCAGAAATCTATTAATTTCCCTAAGCCCATCTCTGTATAGTAAGCGTAGTCAAATACTGATAAATCAGCTCTCTAAAACAGTCCTGGTTTGCAACCTTACCTGATTTCTGTGGTGTAAGACCAGAGGATTTATCCAGAAGGTCTAGTATTAGAATAGTTAGAGAAACAGAGAAAAGATCAAATAAAGAGTAGGTAAGAAATAGTTAAGGATATTGTCTACTGTTGAAGGACAGAACTTTATAGACTGAAAGGAACTGTCAGGTGCCTAACATAGGGAAAATAGACCCACACTAAAGTGTATCATTGTGAAATTTTAGAATAGGCAGCAAAAAACTAAACATTTCTGGAGAGGCAAAATTAGGTCACATAATCTGGAATTAAAATTGTTTTGTGTCTCAGCAGTACTGGCTGCTGCCAGGAAGTGATTTCCTTCAGTTATTACCAACTTAAATTACATACCTAGCAAACCTATCAGTTAAGTCAATGAAGCCATTTTCAGATTTACAAGGCCTCAAAAAGAGACTCTGGGGAAGCTGTGGAAGAGATGATTCAAAGGACCTGAGAAAGAGAATGACTGGAAGAGAATAGGAATATTGATCTAGTTCAAACGTGGCTTAAGAAAGCCCTAGGATGATGATAAGGGGAGATTCCAGAATAACACTTTTGTGTCAGATGTGGAGAATAGTCCAGTTTGGAGAAGGTCAGAATGCTGCAGGAGAGATGTCACCAAGAGGGTGAAAACTAGAATTCTTGATGTGGGTGACCATAGGGATGACATTTAGATTTCTCAGGGAAAGGTTGAGGCTGAGTTGGGGTAATTATATAGAAAACTAAGCTTGTGGACAACAGTATAGTTATTAACTCCAGGAAAAAAATATTTTGAAGAGAAGAAGAATTGTATTACATGGCTCAGCTGAATATGTTTTTATAGTCATAATAAACTAAACATTTAATATTTTTCTATTCAAAATGATTTTAGTACACAGAAAGAATTGAGAATGGCGTTAGTTATGTGTGTGTACATGCTGTTGGATCAAGAGGTTTGAAAGAGAATTAAATTCTGATCTTCCTTAGTTTGAGGCTTATAGCCAATGCCAGAAAAACACAAGAAATAGCACTGTAACAGTTAAAAGTTTTGAAAGTGTTCGGGGAGCTGGAAATGAAGTGGGGTTGGTAAGGAGAGGCCTGCTATTTTTTGTAGTAAGTCTTGAGAACTTTTAACTCTTTAAACCATTCCTTGAAAATTAAGCCCTCAGGTATCCACACATAAATTAACTTCTCTTCTGTCCATCTAGAATTATACCAGCTACCTGCTGTTCTCAGGAGAGTTGAAGAATAGTCACTCAGATTATTTTCTGTAGGGCTTAATTCCCTCACAGAATCTCAGTGGGGAAATCATGCTCCTATTTAACCTTGATGAAAATAAAATTAAAAAAAAATTTTAAAGTAGGATTTTGCTTTGTGAGATGATCTTGGGATATACTGTAGAATTTTCTTAAGTTATTGGTATTCTTAATTCTGTTTTTCTCATAAAAGTCATGTGTGAAGATAATTACTTATTAATTACAGGATTCTTGTTATTGAGATTTTGCCGAGCTATTTTAAGGAGTGAATTCCTAACAAAATGATTCTTAAACTTTCTTTTTCAGATTTTGTTATGGATGTCAGGGGGAATTGAAAGACCAACATGTAAGTTCATGTGCTTTCTAAATATTAAGTATTGGGACACCTGGGTGGCTTTGGTTAAGCTTTGTTTAAGCATCTGCCTTCAGCTCAGGTCATGATCCTGGGGTCCTGGAATCGAGTCCCATGTCGCGCTCCCTGCTCAGCGGGGAGCCTGCTTCTCCCTCTTCCTCTGCCTCTCCCCCTGCTTGTGTGCTCTCTCCTGACAAATAAATAAGTAAAATATTTTACAAAAAAAGATAAATATTAAGTATTATACAAGAAATATTGAGGAAATAGCATTAGAAGTTTTCAGTACATTACTGAAAACCAGGCTCATATTGGGTTATTCCTCAAAAGTATGATAACAGTAGGGAGAGATAAAATGGATTTTTTCTTTTTGTCTTAAATGTGTCTTTTTCCATATTCTTTAATAGTTAAATAAAAGGGGAATATAACTTGTGCAGCTGTGAGGTCATTCCCTAGCAATAACTAAATCTGTGTTAAAGATTTATGTTTTTCTTTTTAATCAAATCAGAGGAACGAATAAGCATTTGAAACTAGTACTAATTTCAAGCTTATGTGTCTTCCCCGGATAATTACTTAAAACAAAGTAATTAAGGATGTTTTACAATACAAGAGGCGTTAAGATGTCAAAGTAATTTTCTCATTTGTAAGGGATAGTTTTTTTGGTAAAATAGTCACCTTAGATTTGAGAATAAATAGTACATTGGAAGTAATAAAGTAGGTAAATGGGTGGGGAAAATTGATCGATAAAAGAGCAAAGCAATTTGAATGTCTTCTAGCTGTGCTGTACTTCTGGAAACTACTTTCTAAATTTTCTTTTCTTCTTTTCACTGCAGGTCTATGTTTGTGCTGTGTGCCAAAATGTTTTCTGTGTGGACTGTGATGTTTTTGTTCATGACTCTCTTCACTGTTGTCCTGGCTGTATTCATAAGATTCCAACTTCTTCAAGTATTTGATTCCAACATATAGTACACATTGTATGTGTTAAAAGGACATTTGCAAGTGTTAATAAAGTGATTCTTCAGAAGAAGCTCCAATTAAGATATGAAGACCAGTTTGAAAGGAAAATCTGATTTAAGAAACTTTTTGCTAAGAAAATGTAGGATTGGGGCACCTGGCTCAGTCATTTGGAAGAGCATGAGACTCTTGATCTCAGGGTTATGAGTTCGAGCCCTACGATGGATTGCTACAAGGTAAAATAAACTTAAAAAAAAGGGAGAGGTGAGGGGGAAAAAAGAAAATGTAGGATTTTATTAAATTTTAAAATTTGTGTCCTGTCACAGAAATGCCCAGAATGTAATACTAGTTCACTGGGTTAATTTTGTTTTCTCTTATTTTGTTATAATGTTTTCGAAGTCATCACACATTATTGTATTTAAGTTACTTATGATTAAATTGTGGTAATTTCATTGCTTTATAATTAAAGTAAATACAGAATCTCTAATTTACTTCTATTCAATTTTAGTGTGAACAGAAAATTAAGTGTAAATGTGAATTCAGAGGCACCTGGGTGGCACAGCTGGTTAAGCATCTGCCTTCGATTCAGGTCTTGATCCCAGGGTCCTGGGATCGAGTCCTACATCGGGCTCCCTGCTCAATGGGGAGTCTGCTTCTCCCTGTGCCTCTCTCCCCCACAAGCACACTGCTTGTGCTCTGTGCTCTGTCTTGTGCTCTCTCTCAAATAAATATTTTTTAAAAAAAGCCTAAGTAGATTTTATTGTAATGTTTAAGAAAGTACCATGTACTGAGTGCCTCCTAAGTCCATACCAAGCATGCAGGTCGGGTACCACCTTATCTGTCATGTGCCAGGCAGGTTATGCATAGACAGGGGAAATCCCAGGAGAGATTTGGACACCTTAAAACTGAGGACTCTGGCTGTCCACAGGATGGTGGCCCTGAAGAAATAAATGAGTCACGTGATAGTTAATTTGCTCATGTGAGGAGAGAACAGTGGCTAGAATGGTCACCTTCCTGTTAGTATTGGAACTGGGACTAACCTAGCCTCTTGACTCCCAGACCACTTCTTACTACAATACGACTAGAAAGGACCCGTATATTTGAAATAGAGGAATTTTTTTTTAAAAGTTAATTTAAAAATTGCTTCACTTTTGTGGATAGGAATATGTTTTGTAAATGGTGTTCAATATACCCTTTAAAATTTCAAAATTGATTTCCATTTTTTTTAAAGTTTATTTATGTAAGTAATCTCTACACTCAATGTGGGGTCTGAACTCACAGCCCCGAGATCAAGAGGCAGGTGTCCCATTAATTTCCATTTTTAAGAAGTTGTGTTTTGTTCAGCAGATGAAATACAAGTATCTCTGCTTCTTGAAAGTTTGCATTTAAGCCACTTCTGTGAAAGACCTACATTGGTACCTGTTTTATCTAACCTAAAGAAGTCTGGGAGGACCTGGGGGGTTCAGCGGCTAAGCGTCTGATTTCAGCTTAGGTCATGATCTCAGGGTCTTGAGATCCAGCCCTGAGTCAGGTTTTGTGCAGAGCTGAGCAGGGAATCTGCTTCTTTCTCTCTGTCTCTCTCTTTCTCTCCCCGCCCCTCCCCCTGCTTGTGTGCGCTCTCTCAAATAAATAAATCTAAAAAAAGAAATCCGGAGAGGATTTTCACTTTTATAAAAAAAAACAAAAAGCAAAAATAGTGCTCAGCATTTGGTTTGCAGCAAGCCCTTCTAGTGCAGGCCCCTCTCGGGGCCATGAGAGCGGCACCACCAGGCTCCTTCCGGGGAACTACACTCAGCATCTCAGCATCAAGCTGCCAGGGCTTTGAGCTGTCTGTGAGCATTGGTGCTTAATCTTCATTCATCTGGTGCATTAGTTAGCAAGATGTGTCCTAAGTATCAGAAAAACCTAACAGAGGTTATCTTTGGGGTCTGGGAAAGCTCAAAAAGTTTTCCATATTAATTAATGATAATAGACTCTTTGCTTTATGCTGTTTGGTTTATGAAAATGGGAATGCTCTACTTTGGAGTAGCAGAGGAAACCTGTATAGTACTATTTTATATAATTTCCTTTACTCCCAGTAACTTATGTGTAACTGATGTAGGAAAGATGTTGGGGTTCAGAGCTGATGACCAAGAAAGAATTCTTGAGATATCTTTGGTGCAGAAAGATGTTTTTATTAGAGCAAGGGGACAGGACCTGTAGGCAGAAGGAGCTGCACTGGGGTCACGAGGAGTGGCCCATTATATACTTTCAAGTTGGGAGGGAGTTTGGGATAGTGTAAGCGTCCCAGGTATTTTGGAAATAAATAAATAAAATCTTAAAAAAAAAAAAAAGAAACAAGGTTTCCAGGACATTGAGGGGGCTAGCTGTTGTTAGGAAAAGGTCATTTATTACTGTTGAGTAAAAACTCCATCATAAGACCCTTCAGATGGATATCAGTGGGTCATATTCTTGGGGAATGATTGCTAACATATCTTAGGAGGTAGAGATAAAGGTAGTTTCCAGAGGAATTTCTATATGTTCAAGTAGACTTACAGGATCCAGGAGTGCGGAGGTTCGGGCTAAGATTGCCTTTGCCCTTTTAGCAAAGTATTAACATCGAGGCAGCTGAGTCCCTAGAGGAATGTCGCTCTACCTGTTTCAAGGACTTGAGAGTGGGCTGTAGGTAGTAAGGAAATTTAATTTTTCTTTTTGCCTTAGTTTCTCACATCATAACCACAGGAACTGGATTTAGTAACCATAGTTTAACAAACAACACATCCAGCCTATATATATCGGTAAGTTAGAATCTCTTTGATTGTATTCTATATTTGCTTCAAAGGAAAAGATAATCCGAAGATTGAATTTTTCAATTATTATACATGTTGTCACTAATAGAAATCAGGAAGAATTCCCTCCCCCTCCTGCGTGTCTTCTTGGAGTAGCTTGGGGTTTTTAGGCTTCCTGTTTATGTTGTGTGCGCCGTGCCCTCACTATGGAGTTGTCTGTAACCTGAGCCACGGGAGGACCTGTACGCAGCCAAGAGCCACAGCTGTCCCCGCTGACTCAACACTGGAGCGTGCACGTCTTGAGAAATAAACCAACGACTGAGTACACACTGGGGGAAGAAAAAGAAGGAATTATACGAAAATAATGATGAGTCTCATAAATAAGTGCTGAGGTAAAATTTGACAGTTTATTGAAGCATGATAAATTTCATCATTTTTAGATGTACAATCCAAAGTTTTAACAAATGTTTATTGTGTAATCCTCACCACAATAAAAGATGTAGGACCTCTCTACGTAGCACTGAGGTAAATTTTAATTACATTTACTAATTACAGATCTGAATTTCTTCAAAGGAAGAAATCCTTAGAGGAAATTGCACAGTATATTCACAGCTACGAGGGATTTGTTGGTGTCGTAGTAATTTATAACAGCAAACGCTTTCTCAGGTTGGCTTTTGATGACGTGCTAATGATGAGGGAGCAGAAGGCGAGCTGAAGACAAAGCACAAGCGGACACCCTGCAACCTCCCCCCACCCCCACTCCTGGATGGGACGTGCGTGACTTTCTTCCAGGAATCTCCCAACTATCTTAACTGTTAACGCCTTGCTAGAGGGGAAAATAACCTGAACTTGACAAAGGCAAGGCCCCCGGTATCTTACAGGTCGGTCCTCTTAAGCATACGAAAGTTCTTTTGAAACCTCCCTTTTCCTTACTTCCCCCAACTCCCGAGTAGATCATCAGCCACCCCTCACAACCCCGATGGAGCAGCTCTTTCTGCCCACAGGCCCTGTCCCCGTGCTTTCATAAGCCCCCATTCTGCACCAAAGACGTCTCAAGAATTCTGTCTTGGCCGTCAGCTCTGGACTCCACCCCGCGAAACATCACCTACATTCCCAAACCACATCACCTTCACCCCCTCCCTACTCACGGGACAGGACCTGTGGGCAAAAAGAGCGATACTGGGATTGTGAGGAGTGACTGATGGGATCCTTAGTTAGTGGGGGTTAGGGAGAGGGCAAGTCTCCAAGGAATCTGGAGGGAAGGCTTTCAGGACCTCGAGGGGCCGCTGCTGCCAAGGTAAGGTTACTTTTAAACATTACGGCGCTGAGGCGGCCCTGGGTTCCTTGAGGAAGGTCACACTCTGCGGGTTTCAGGTATCTCTCAGTGGGCTGCAAGCTGTAAGGAGATTTTAATTTAAGCTGCATTTCTTTTGCCTTTGTTTCCCACATGGACGTTGTCTTGCTGAACTAGAGCCAATATTCCCTCTTTGAGGCCACTTCCCTGGCTTTCCTTGGCTGCCCCCACCTAAAGGCCTGCATAACATTCAGATCAGGCACCAGCACCCCCAGCCGGCGTCCCAGCTGTGCCGCCTGGTGGGTTACTTTGTACTCTGTTAGTAAGGGGTCCCTAGTGGCAAGTGACAGAAAACCCATCCCAAATTGGCTGAAGCAAAAAGAGAACTGATTGGCTAAGAGGACTCAATATTCTGAGAACCTTGGGGCGCCTGGGTGGCTCAGTCGTTAAGCGTCTGCCTTCGGCTCAGGTCATGAGGGATCAAGCCCCATGTCGGGCTCCCTGCTCCGCGGGAAGCCTGCTTCTCCCTCTCCCACTCCCCCTCCTTGTGTTCCCTCTCTCGCTGTGTCTCTCTCTGTCAAATAAAAAAAAAAAAAAAAAAAAAAAATCTTTAAAAAAAAAAAAAGATGAGAACCCTGAAAAGAATATGACCTGAAAGTGGGAGAGGAGTGTTTGCTCAGAAAGAAATCTGGTGTTCCTACCAGAAGGATCGCTTGCTTAACACCTATCCACCCTTCTGAATCCATTTTCCTCCCCGTAGCTTATACTTCCTCATTAGTCAAAGTATAGCTGTGAAATGTAAATATAATTCAGATTTTGAACTGGATTTCTGGAAGACATGACCCTGAGAAGGCTCTTTGTTGGCTCAAACATTCACAGGTGTTCTGGGTTTTTTTTGCAATGCATTAAAAAATTCCATTAATAGAAATGAAAATTAAAGGAATGATTGTCCAAATACCATGCCCCTCAATCCGATGCAACTCTATATTGGGGGTGGGGCAAGTTCTAGCAACTATTATTCATAGATCAGTGTATCTCTAAGTCAAACAGTTGATAGCTTGAATTTTAATTTTCTTCAGGGAGAACATTTTGTAAATTCCTGGGTCAGGAGTGAGTTACCTCTCGCATCAGGTGTAAAGACTCCAGCATATTCCAAAGGCTTCGCTTATTTCTTCCTTTGCCTTTTTTTTTTTTCCATTCTTTCATTCTCCTCCTCATTTTAAAGTGTCATAATCCATTTTAAAACCTATTTTCCTAAGAGATTTCTATTCTTCTGGAGTGCCTTAGTTTTTTTTAGCATAAATGAGCATAGGGAAATATGACAGGGTTGGGTCATTGACTATTTCCTTAAAACAATCAAAATTTCTGATTAGTTTTAAATATGTTCTTAAAAGAAATCAGTGTTAAGTAATTGGGTGTGAGATAATAGAAAAATACAGATTTCACCCCCCCACCCCCCTGGTACCTAGCTCTGGATACCCTTGTGAATCCCTAAGTGGTAAGAGCACTAAGAGCACCTTTTGTTCTAATGAGGTGGGTGGCTCCTGGATGGGGGCTGCTTCCTAGAAAGGTCAAGCCATGATTAGAAGGTTGGAATTTTCAGCCCCGCCTCCCATTCTCCAGAGAGAGGAGGGGGCTGGAAATGGAATTAATGATTAATCAAGCCAACCTGAGGAAGCCTCCATAAATATCCCAATAGTATAGTGTGCAGGGAGCTTCCAGGTGAGAGAACACATCCACAATGGGAGGGTGACACACCCAACTCCTTGAGGATGGAAGCTTCTGTACTCAGGACCACCCCCCCGCAACCCAGACTTGGCCTGTGGATCTCTTCATCTGACTGTTCATCTGTATCATTTATCATACCTTCTAATAAACTGGTGTTTCCCTGAGTTCTGTGAACCACTCTAGCAAATGCAGTGGGCTAGGAGCAGTCTTGTGGGGTTGAGCTCTTAACTCTGGGGTCTTGACACGGTCTCTGGGGAGTGTTAGAACGGAGTTGAATTGTAGTACACCCAGCTGCTGTCCGAGAATTGCTGCTGGGAGGCAGGGGTAGGACCCCCACACATCTGGTCTCAGCAGTGTTGTGAGTGTGGTAATTGTGTGAGTAAAGGAGACACAAGGGAAAAGAGTACTACTCAGTAATTAAAAATGAAGTGAATAGCGGGATCCTGGGGTTAAAGGTGGAACAGTGAAGCAAGCTTTCATCTTAAAGAAATGTCCAGAACTAAATTAACGTTGTTTAGTTTTCAAGTCTTCACACTGTACAGAAGATAGGAATCCAACCCCAGGGCAAGCCCAAGGTGGGAAGTCTAATGGAGACTACCTCAGAGTGGATACCCCAAAGGGCAAAAAATGAACCTGCCTGTTCTTAAGGGAGAGAACAAGGAAAATTTGGTTTTCTCAAATCTTGACACTACCTTGGGGAGAAAGAGAATCTCCTCTAGCATTAATCTTGTTTTATTCTGATGCTAGATGATGAAGAGATCATTTTCAAGTATTTTATTATAGAAAAATTTGAATCCACACAGAAATAAGACCGTAGCCTACAGCCACCATGTATCTACCACTGCTTCAACAAGTAACGTGTAGTCTTGCTTCATCATAACCTTCCACCTTTTCCAAGCCCTCCTCCAATCACATTGAAACAAATGCTGTACATCCACATTCCCTGTGTATATACGAGGGATACTTTGAACACCAATACTTGACATAGAACGCTGGCTGGTCTCACGGTATGCTTTTTTTTCAAGCTTACAGCAGTGCCACCATCTTTGCTAATGAAGAGCTATGACTGGACTCAAGCGCTGGCCCCCTGCTTCCCCTGCAGGAGCTGCAGCTCTGGCGAGACCTGGTATTTTCTGCACAGGTGAGTCGGGGTTTCCATCAAGCTCTGGCCTTGCTCTTTCTTGAGCCCACTTAAACCCCACATACACTTTATGGTCCTGGTCTTGTTTACTGTAGTATCCTCATCTGTACTTAGTACATGATAGGTGCTTAATAGGTATTTGTAGAACTTATTTTCTTATTTATGATGAGCAATTCCTGTTGAAAAACCGTTTTCGGGCACCTGGGTGGCTCAGTCGTTAAGCGTCTGCCTTCAGCTCAGATCATGATCCCGGGGTCCTGGGATCAAGCCCCACATCGGGCTCCCTGCTCCGCGGGAAGCCTGCTTCTCCCTCTCCCACTCCCCCTGCTTGTGTTCCCTCTCTTGCTGTGTCTCTCTCTGTCAAATAAATAAATAAAATCTTAAAAAAATAACAAACAAAAAACCGTTTTCTATCACATGACCACATACTGCTAAAATAAACAAGGTGCTGGTGTTCATTACCATTAATTCAGAAAGTTCACAATGGTCCTGAAGGTCTGGAATCACTTCTGCAAAGGATTTCATATTTTGGAGAAACTGACAAGCACAAAGTTAAAAGTTATAAAAATAGTTGTATGCGATTAAGTGCATTTGCATTAGGTTTTCAAACCCCACATACACTTTACGGTCCTGGACCTGTATTTATCTAGACTCAACAATCTCCACTTTTTTTTAAAGATTTTATTTATTGGGGCACCTGGGTGGCTCAGTTAAGTGTATGCCTTGGGCTCAGGCCATGATCCC